AGACACATGTATACACCCCTATGGCTCCATATTAACACTCACACTGTCTGGAAGTATCCCTTATCCTCTCTTTCTCTTTGTATAAAATACTTTGTATAAAGTGTAAGCTAAGCCTTAGATGACAGTGTGCTGTTAAGACGCTTCTAGGGTGAGTACAGGTATGAAAGTACCACATCTGATGCTGGTTTCAAATTAGAGTATTTCTCCTGCAAACATACTATTGAGAACATCTCTTGGGTCTCACTCTCAGTATTCTTAGCACTTAGGTATTTCTGTAGAAGTGTTTGTTACAACTTCCTTTCATCTCAATTTTTTTACTGTTGGATTTTGCAGTCACTATCGATTATTTCTGATGGTACTGTATATTTACACAAGGGAAAAAAATGTAGTATGTTACAAGAAAATCAAGTGTCAGAGAAGAATTAGGAGTTAAGAGTGACTGTCCAAAATGTAAGTTTTTTGAAGCAATTGGATAAATCAAATCAAATTATATAGTATTCATTTAAAAAAAGCCAGGATGTCATTAGTTAAAAAAAATGCTATATTGCATATAAAATCACAAGTTTCTATAATCAGGCACCACATATGCTGATTCATTGAACAGAACTTTTTGGCTTAATTCCCCACCCCCTTTTCCTGTAAGCAAAGACAAATCAAAAGTAAAATTGTAAAGAAATGACAGTTATCTAAATGTGATTGGCCTAAAAATGCAGTGCTCGGTTTTCTACCTCCTCACTGGTTTTTGTACAGACTGAGATAACAAGCTTCTTTTGTTTTCCCGGACATTTTCCATTTTATTACTTGGCTTTCTGCTTTCATTCACTATTATTATCCATGTCATCCTCCTCCTCATCACCGTCATCGTCATCATCATCATCACCTTCTGACAAGTCAAAATCACTGAACCCCAGGGCCATGTTGACCTTCTTCCCCCTTCTCTTAGATGTGGTTTTGGAAGAATTCTGCTTGGCTTGCATGTTTATCTGCATCCCAGAATGCAGCACAGCTCCTGCTTTGTTCATTGAGAAGATATCCCCAAAGCCCATCAGCATCATGGCCTGCAGACTTTGGTTCATGCCATGGCCCTCCCCGTTACTTGTTGCTGTGATCTGACATGACATCTCTGCACTGTTTGACTCCTCTGTCTTAGATTCAAAGTAAGACTCCTCAGACATTCTTGCAGCAAGAGGCAAGAGAAGCTATCACGAGGGAAGAAAGGACAGAAGTAAAAAGAAATTAGGACCAATTTATATCAAGGGAACAGATACCACAAAATTAATGGGTGCTGCATGGAAAGTAAATGATTAGTGAAATGGATGTAGGGGATTATGTGAGAATTTATTAATGGCAGGTTTGGCTCCAGCGTGTTTATCATGATTTATAAATGACAGAGTAGATCACATCAAAGTTTGCAAAGCGCTACAGCAAGCCAAATTTTCAAATAGGAAGGAACTTGTAAGTTTTAAACCCTCATTTTGCAAAAACAAAGTAGTTTTTAGAATTTCTCAAATTCATATGGAAAAAGTTAACTATTATATTAATGAAGAAATTAAGTAGAGATTAATCTTGAGTAATAAAAAACAAAACAAACAAGAAACCCTGTACCAAAGAAGAAAAGCTTAGAGGAAGCATAAAAACAGTTCAGTAGTCAATACAGTTCTAGGGAGATTTGGGTCGTTACCTATCTTTTTAGCTAGATTAAGTATCTGACTACTAAAAAGGAGTCTAGAATTCACTTGTCTCTATTATTTAATACAGGCAGATATATAATACTAGTTATCCAATTTATGAAGTAATTCACTTATAAACAAATTTTAGATCATCTCTGACATCTAAGTATAAACAAGTATGTAAATATCTGAAAATTGGGAGGACAGGAAACTAGTATTAATTTAGATTGTCACCTTGGTCTCTATCTCTACAAGTTTCCTTCTTTTTTTTCAGAATTTTTTTCTAGGAATTCTTCTTATAATGGATACAGACATTTTCAATCTTACATAATTATTTTAAACAGCCAACATATTTCCGTAAATGTTGTTCATACACATCTCAGGGGTAGAACTGTTAGGCTCGGAAAGAGTGACGGCCTCTTCTTTTCAGAAAGAAGCAAATTAAGACATATTTTTGATGCAGTGTAAATAAGGGTAAATTTATGATAAAGTACAAATAATATAACTCTGGGATGATCTTAACATTCTGTAAGTAAAGGTACTTTTTAGGGCCAATTTCCTAATTTTAAAATTAAAGTTGGAATTGAATTCTATTAAAAAATCATCTTAACTTCATTAGGAAAAGACCTCTATAGTTATTAGCTCAATAAGAACTTCACATAATTCAGCTAAAAATCAGCAGCTACATAGAAGAAATTGTTTTAAATCCTTTAAGACCAGAAACAGGCTATTCCTTTCCTTGCAGTCAGATTTCCCAGCCTCTCAAAGTTTTTTTCAATTGTTACACACTCTCAGGATCTCTTTGCTGCTTATCAACTTTATTATTTCATAGGTGCTTCCTCACATTATGTTAAGATCTCAAAAAATGCCTCTCAAATAAGTTTTATTTTTAAAAGAAGTAAAATTTCTATATCAAGCTACAAGAATTGTTAAAAATAAACATTGTTCATATTTGTATATGGAGAATCCATCTTCCCAAATATCTTTAACTAGTGTTTTAATTTCAGGAAAGAAAAGACTGTTCTTTCTTGAAATAAATACAATAAAACATTTTTTTATGATGTTGCTTAAATATCAAGTTATAAGATGAGGCTACACAGTCTCAGCTACTGAGTCTCCAGCCACTTTCTTTTAAAAAGGTTTATTTTATCCATCTCTCAGAAACCTCATTTAAAGTCAACTAGAAACTGATGTGAGGATAAAAGAAAAAACCTACTTATAAAATACCTGAGCACAAACCTGCTTTCCTTCAGAAATACCAGCTCTAAGCAAAAGAGACGTTAAAAGCAAGTACTGTACAGAAAGAAAACTTAGCCTCATAGGTAAAAAAAAAAGGAAGAAAATCTCATTGAGATTGTGCTGCATGCTGTCCATTGTTAGATGGCAGCCCTCAGAGCAGTTCCTTTACAGAAAGTTTTCTGCAGTTAAAACACAAGCATACAACCTACCGTGCACTCCGTTTTTCATGATTTATTACACAGCTGCGTTACTAATAGCAATAATGTGTGCAAGGCAGCCCATAATTTCTTAGCAAAACTAATGCCCGTAAACCAAAGAAAGGTTCTAAAGCATACTTTAATGGGTCCTTTAAAGTTTTTTTTTTCCTTACAACGCTACATTTAGAAAGAGTCAAGCCATGCAGCGCTTTATAGCTTAAGATTTCAATGTACTTAAAAGCCCCCACAACTCTCTTCAGAAGGTGGCCATATTTTTGCTTCTCATCAGTTCTGGGAGAAGCAATGTTCCCTTGCAGATCCTTAGCGTAATGCTTTCTGAGTCTGCCAGTTCAACCATAACAGGAAGCTTTCCTTAATTTCTTTCTTGAAAGCCAAGATAAAATTCACAGAATTTACAAAATGTGGTACTGTTTTAATAACACAAGACAGTCTTATGCATAACAAGTAAGTTTACTTGTTACTCAGTTCCTTACTTTGGGATTCCTTGGATAACCAAAGTCATTTTTTAAAAAGTGAAATCTGATAATAAACATTTAATTTCACTGTAGTTTCCTTTTTTGGATATCAGGTTCTTTCTCCACATAAATCGGAAAAAGAGGCAAACGATTTTATTCTTTAGACACTGTTAAATACTTTGCAGTTGGGCACTGGCTGCTTAATGGAGCTTAAGACTTTTAAAAATAGGAAAGTTTTTTGAAGATCACAAATTGAAGAACATTTAAGTATTTGGGAGGTACAATCACCAAAGTAACTGTCAAACATGAATTTAAAATATATAACAAGTGGACTTTTAATCATTATTTCTTGTGATCTTAAGGTGGGTATATATCGCCCATTTAAAACCCTGGAAAAGCCAATGATAAATTTATACTTAATTCTTTAAACAATGATTTATTTAAAATAGGGAAGAATGTTCTTCTTGTTTTCTAGAGTAACTTTTCTTACGTTTATTAGTTATTTTTATCTCTTCTTTTGTGAATTACGTACCTATAGTATTTCCCCATGCTTCTGTTGGTGTCCTAGGTTTTTTTAAGTTATTTCTGTGAGCTCTCTCTATTTCTGTCTTAAATATTTAATTTTATGAATTTGTAGTTTGTTTTTATTTGAATGTCATATTTTTGCAATACAGAATTTTTTAGTAGTGAAAAAAAAACAGGAAAGAATGGTGAAATTTGACTAGACTTTAATATATCATGTCAACATATAAGCTCAAGTTAAGTGTATAAACAATGAAGTTCTTAAGAAGAATTTTTATCTTAATCCAAATACAAGATTTGGAAAAAACCAAGATATTTCTTGGCAGAGTAAATACTTGAAGCTTGTCCTGAGAGAACTATTTTCCCACTTTTTTGCTGCCCATGATCATGACCCTACAGTGAGTAAGGAATATTAATACTTGTCATTTATAGATCATTAAGTTAGCTTTTAGAAGGAAAACTGGTTAAGTTCTGACATATCAATGACTTTCTCAGACAGCTAACTGCCTTGGTGTAGTGTTTATGAATTACTGATAGACTCACTCTAAAGAGTTCATCTTCCTCAAGGCATAGGGTCTGGGGACCTGATGGTGCAAAGTACACTGCAGATGGTGCAAAAATACACTGAATTTTATTTTTGTAATTCTAACATACAAACACACTGACAGAGTAACAGTTCTCAGGGACAGAGCCAGAAACAGGATAAGCTTTTCTTCTAAATTTTTGGAAGTTTGTTAATTGAAAAGAGATAGGAAGCGCTACTCCAGGATAAATGCAGGTCCTCTCATTACAGCGCGAGGCGGCAAATGAGGCGGCGGCAGGGGAGGTGGCGCCATGCTGCCATGCTCAGCCAGTCTCCTGAGTGGGGGTCAGCGAGCCCTGCAGGGAGCACTCACCGGGGTGTTGGACTGCTCTGTCAGCTTTTGCTCCCACATCTTTAGCCGTCTTTCTCGTTCTTTGAGCTCCTGCTCTTTAAAGCTGAGGTCACGTTCTAGTTTCTTCAGTCTCTCAAGAGTTGCTTCAATTTCACACCTGTAGGAGGACATAACTGGTTTAAATCTCAAGGGATGTTATGTGCTGAGGGGTCCATCACAATGCTTAATCAAAGGAAAAGGCTAAAACCTGTGCTTTGAAACCAAACAGTAAACAGCGAGGAGAGCAAACCAGTCCATCCTAAAGGAAATCAACCCTGAATATTCATGGGAAGGACTGATGCTGAAGCTGAGTTCCAATACTTGGTCCACCTGATGCAAAAAGCTGACTCATTGGAAAAGACCCTGATGCTGGGAAAGACTGAGGGCAAGAGGAGAACGGGATGACAGAGGACGAGATGGTTGGATGGCATGACTAAATGGACATGAGTTTGAGCAAACTTTGGGAGATAGTGAAGGACAGGGAAGCCCAGACTGCTGCGGTTCATGGGGTCACAAAGAGTCGGACACAACTTAGTGACTAAACAACAACAACAACAAACTAGCAAAGCACAGGACATCTTTCATATCCTTCAAAATCAACATATAAACTAGCTTGGAAACATAAGTTTGGAATACTTTCTCAAAGCAGTGAAGAACCACTGTCTGGGGCCTGAGCCATGGAACTGGTGTCCTGGTTTAGTCATTTAATAAATGCTCATGGTCCTCTGGCTCTATTGTATATCAGCTTATCTTATATTCATTACAGTCCCAAGAAACAGGTATTAATCTTGCATAGAGAGATGGGACAATGACACTCTGGTTAGATGATTACTGTCACTCCACTCAGAAATTCACCTTAGCCTATTCACTGGCTGAGTAACTCCAGCAATCTACAGATTAACCTGACTCAGTTTTGTCAGCTGTATGGGGTGGTGGTTACCTTTTATTGGGACCCTGCAAACTGCCTGATCCTAATAATTGTCTGGGCAAACATACCACAAAACATAGATTCCTAAGACCCTTCCTCCGAGCTCATGATTGAGTAGGGCTGGGTAGGGCCTAGGAATTTCCATTATTTGATATGAGTTTGTTTTTACAATCAGGCAAGTGTGAGAAATCCTGGATCAGATGAACTCTAAGGTTCATTTTAACTCTAATAATTTTAAAAGCAAGTTAGTTCCCTCCCAGACCTGCCTCACCACCTGGAACAATATGTCCAGTTACAGAAACCTGTCCTTGACAGAAATTAAAGCTGGTAAGATGGCTCAGTATAAGTTTTTTTCTCCTTCAGGGCTACTGTTAATGCTTAGGTCTAAACTTATGCTCCGAGAGTTGGAAGTTCTTTCCTGTGAGTTTCTGCAGACCTTCTGAGAAAAGCAACAGTAATGAAAGACTGTGAGCAAGGAGAGACAGGGAGGGAGAGAGGATGGGGGAGAGGAGGACGCAGAATGAGGAAGGGACTGGGGAGATGGGAGCTGCTGAGCCAAAATCTGCTTCCAGGTGCCCTGAGACACACCTACCTACACGTCAGACTGTGTGATTCGGTTTGAGGTCTTGACTACGGAAGTTTGAAGCCCCCAGATCTAAGTTAATAGATGTATGCAGCCCAAGTCTGCATTTTTATGTCCAGGGAAAATCAGAATAGATGGAAAGTAAATACATGAAAACAAAAAGGTGTGGGTATCACTTGACCAAATCCAACTCAGGGAACAGCTGCTGAGGTGGATCTGGACTTGGGTCACACATTTTACTTCCCAGGCTGTCTGCAGAGCAAGGGAGGCCAGGAAAGTAAGTGTAAAAGCATCTGTTGTCAACCCTCTGTCCCATTGAGTGGTGCCATTTGAAAGTTACAACACCATGTAAGTCATACTAGAGTCCCTAAAGAAAGGCAGCAAATTGACCATCTTTCAGAATTATGACTGTATCATAAAATCCAAATTTTATATTTCAGTCATAATATTATGTCCATTCACAAATAAGTGTTTTTATTTTTCAAATGGAGGACTGAGGGGAAGAAAGAAAAATTCGGTGTAGATCTTAGGTTAAACTTAAGCAACAGAAAGGAAAGAAAGAATGAGTCATCTTCAGTAAATGAGAGAGTGAGAAAGGATGCGCAGAGCTGGGCACACGGGGCTCTGGGAGTTGGCAGGGGCCTGGCTGCTGTCAAGCCCTGTCCCAACTCTCCTGCCAGGGGGGCTGAGCTCACTGATGTCCCTTCTGATCAGGGTAAAATGGCCAGCACATTTGATTTCATTTGTAATTTAAGCCTAGGATTCATCTCAAGTTACAGCTTTGGGGGCCCACTCTGATTTTGAGCCCTTCTGGAAAACAGATCAACAGTTAAGTAAGCTAGGTAAGCTGAGAGCTGCTGCAGAAAAACACCGAATGAGCAGGCTTCCTCAGTCTGTGTCTTCAGGGTCAGCTCCCATACACGGCTTTCCCTAGGATCCTGACAGCAACGATCTTATGCCTTAAGAGATGTAACCCCAATCCGCTGCTGCTGCTGCTGCTGCTGCTAAGTCGCTTCAGTCGTGTCTGACCCTGTGCGACCCCACAGACGGCAGCCCACCAGGCTCCTCCATCCCTGGGATTCTCCAGGCAAGAACAGTGGAGTGGGTTGCCATTGCCTTCTCCTACCCCAATCCAGAGGGCAACACAAAACAGCTGCTCCTCTGGCTGTCCCCTCTGTTTTTCTTGATGCATTATTTTGCATCAAATGCATTGGTTGATGCACTTATGTAATCTTCCTGTTCTGAAAATAAAGTTTGTATGTTTTAAGTTGATAGAAATTATGGTTTTTCTCTTAAACCAACTCCAACTAAGGTTGACTTCAACCAGTATCAGTTTTCCCTATGTCAGAAACAGGCAATGAACTATAATTATCTTCTTTTAATAGAAACTTACTTTGAAATAAAAGATCAATTCATAAAAGCAGCTATATTATATACAAGATAAGTAGATAATATATTATGATATTACACTTAGTGTTATACATTAAATGACTTGTGCTAAATCCAAATCTCAAAGATTAATTTTTTAAAATCTTTATGTTTTTTAAGAAAATATTTGGCTGTGCCAGATCTTAGCTGGGGCATGTGGGATCTAGTTCCCTCACCAGGGAGGGAACCCAGGCCCCCTGCATTGGGAGCTCGGAGTCTTAGCAAATGGGACCACCAAGGAAGTCCCTGGATTTTGTTTTTAAGAAGGTGTGCTAGAGTGAGTATTTTGATCACTGAGGAAGAGTGCATCCAGCAGTGTTTTGCCAAGAGACAGGGACCTGGACACTCTCCACAGCACCACGGAGCTAATTCAGTGCAGGTGACCACAGGCCTGCAGACAATCACATGGGGCAATGAGAGCTGAAAACGTGACCAAGAGGACCACACTTCCTGTTCTTAATGTTCATGGCCACTACTGCTAATCATAGGAAGAGAAATAAGATGAACATGTGATGAACAGGAAAGGTTCACTAGACACTAGATTTCTTTCCTGTCATTTACTAGGTTAAAGGAAAGGGCATAGTTGATGTGGTTTTTAATAACCTAGTCTTAAAAAGAATTTTCAGAATAGTCATTTAATTTTCTAAGACTAGAAGTTTCATCTGGTTTAGGTGTAGAGGAAGCTATCAGCAAACAAGCATTTGCCAGAAATGCCAGAGCAGGACAGGAGTCCAACTTCACTGAGACTCGTAACTTCCTACACATACTTGGGACCCTAGACACACGGTTTCAGGCACCAAATAAAAGTTAGCGGAAGGAGAGGAGCAGTCCGTTGAAATGTCCAGGTGACCTGAAAAAACATTTTCTTCTTTTCAACCCTTGGCACACAGAGTGGGGTTGCTGTTTTCCCTAAGTCATCACCTAAAACCATCACGCCCTGCGATGCTTCTCGTTGTTACACGGGAATCGATCGGGTCAAGTGAACACTGCACGCTAACGAGCAGGTGGCCTGACAATGGCCACAAGTGCAAGGGCAGCGCCACCAGTGTGTACCACGCGGGCCCCTGGGGTCAGGCCCCCTGGTTTCCAGCACAGGTATGATCTCAGGCGGGTTGTCCAACCTGTCCATGTCTTGGGTCTTGTACCTGTGATGTAAGTTAGGGTTGCTGTGTGGATTTAAAAAGATAATCCAAATGAAGTACAACCATCTGGTTAAGAATGTAATAACAATAGCTGTGTTCATTATTGTTATTCATTAATATTATTATTCCCCACAGTTTTAATCTATTGCCAAATTCAATGAAAACAGCTCTGCTGCCTCTTAAAGTATAGTTTAGTGTTTCTGGTAAAGATATATATCTTTTCTCCAGCTCTCAGGATTAATTAGCTCCTGAAAGAGAGGAAGCAGAGTGAGGAAGCACTCTGGGCAACTGTTTGCCTTTTATTAAAATACATTAATGTATTACCAATTTTATTTCTCTCATCTTTTTAGCTTGAAGCATTAAAAAAAATTGTTATTCAACTAATCCAGGGTTATTGTAGAAAAAAAGATAATGTTGAACTTTTTCTACTTTTTTCTATGTGCACATATATGTACATGTAAATATGTTTTTTATTTTAGAACAAATGAAATCATTCTGAACATACTGGACTGTAGCATTGATTTTAAAATCATTTATCAGATCTGTATATAAGACTCAACACTAAAAAAAAAAAAAAAAGAAAAAACTCAACACTGTTTTGTGTATGGAGCTATCATACATTTTTAAGTCATAAAAGCCACACACACAAAAAACCAAATCAATCTTGTTTCACTTGAAGCTCACTTCCAGTTTTACAGTTCTAAAGGTTGTGGTAAACAAATGTCCATACATTCTCACACAACATTCTCATTTATTTTCTTAGGGATGAAATGGCAGTGGGAGAGGTGTCTGATCTTTACAGTCAAACTCCTCCAGAAAAGTATTTCTCCCACAGCAAAGTGTGAGGAAGTTTACAACACCAGATATTTTCCTGATATAAATTTTTGCCAATCTGATGAATAAATTGTGTTCCCTTTTATTTGGCTGCTACATGAGGCTGAATACTTTTCACATGTTTATTGACCCTTTGACTTCTTTTCTTGTGAAATGCCATTTCAGGTCCTTTAGTATGATATTTTAATTAAAATGTTACTTTAAAGACAGAAGTGGTAGTTTTCCAAGTGTAATCTGGGGGCTTATGAGAGCTTTTCAAAAGTTAGACTGGTTTTCAGAATAACATTAAGGCATGATTTACCTTTCTACTCTCATTCTCACAAGTGTACTGACTTTTCCACATGCTTCCTGACATGGGACAGTACCACAAGCTGAATGCAGAAGCAGGATTAATTATTGTTTTTCAAATGAATCAATAAGTACCTATTTAAACTTTTTTCTCAGTTCTGATTTTGAATGTAGTAAATACTGACAGATGTAACTAATTTAAACAAAAGCCCTTTGGAGTCCTCAATGATTTTTTCAGAGTGTAATGGAGTCCTGAGACTAGAAACTTTCAGAACAACTGATACATCAACTAGGAAAAAAAGCTGTAACAGTATGGCATTTGTCTAGGAAATTTATTGATGGTGGGTATTGCTTTTGGTCTTATGGAGGTTTTGCATCTTAATACAGAAAACTTGCCAACTTCCCCCTATTTTCTGGTTGTATTGACATACTTTGAAGGCTCCCTAGCTCATGGATATTAATAGTAGTATTAAAATCCTACTAATCCTTTGGCTAAGAGATCAAACAGCAGTTCCTCAGGGAATCCCTTTATTAAACCCTCAGACTAGATTAGATTTCACGGTTTTATAGTCTCAGACCTCTAGCACTGTCCTGTCATAATACTTATCAAAATAGTCATGAAAAAGTTATTTGTATATTTGTATTTAGTTATCTAATATTAAACTCCAAGTGCACTGTTACTGTTTTGTTCAACACCAGAGCCCATACCTAAAGAACATCTTTTCCCAGCAAAGGTTTAATGAATATCTGAATGAATGAATATAAGAAGCACATCTATCAAAGCAAACAAGTCAACTTGCATGTTTCTATCCTCTTGTGTAATATGGTGATGTCTTTTAAGATTATTACTACTATGGTATTTCCTTCTCCAAGTATTTGTTGAGCAACCACAGTGTTTAAGACATGTTCTAGATACTGCAGTTACCGTGATGAACAGAAGAGATGATCTGACCCTCTTGCATGTTAGCTAGCAAGACACGCCGTTATTAAACAACAGACTGCAGAACTACTTATTAATTTCAAAAGAGGGTATGAAGGAGATGCTCTCAGGGCACATAAAGTGGAACCTCAGTGGGTCTGGGGTCAGGACACACTTGCTTGAAGGAGAGCTGTTTTCAGCCACTATCTGAAGTAATATGCATCAGAGCCAAGTTGGGTTTGGGCATCACGGCTGGTATGCTGCTGAAATGGGATGAATTTTATACAGAAGGAACTGCATTTGAAAGGATTCTGTATGAGGGAGAAATAGACACGTGTTGAAGGACCAAAGCCAAAAATTAAGGGGTAGAATGATACTCAAGATAAAGTAAGAGCACAGAGGGTGTCGTGAATCTTTTTTTGGCCTTTGGGTTATGGGAGCTCCTTATACTGATTTAAGGGAAGTGATCTCATTAGATGTGTGCTGATCTCTTACTGTAGGAAACAAATATTACTAACATGTTTTGTTAATTTTTTGAGCCCAGAACAAAGTCCTTCATACCTAGACTCTAGCAAACAGTATTACTTTTGTATTACTAAGTAAAAATTCATTTTAACTCACTGGTCCTAGAGATTCTCCAAGAATAAAAAATAAAGAAGGTTATTGTAAAACACCAAACAGAAAGCCCAAAAAAATGTGCAATCACAGGACTGAACAACTCTGTCATTTTTAAGTGCCTGTACTATTCATTTGCTATCGGCAGGTGGCGTGAGGCGTCATGTTACTACCCATAGCTATCAGGAGCAGGGTGAGTTACTTAAATCTCTGCTGAGTCAGGGAGAAATAATGTCAGAGCCCAAACATGCTATTTATATTTGTACATCACGTGACCTAGCTCAAATGTTTCATCTCTGGCTTACTTCTTCCCGTCACACAATACAATTCTCTCATTACTAAGTTTGTTTACATTTGACAGAATGTAATAGGATTTATAACATTGAAAGTTTTATTCTGAAAGTGTTTTTACAGTCTCCCTACCTCTCCCATCAACAGAAAAAGTGCTCTGCCTATTTCCAAGCAGACAGTATTTTTATTTCTCAAGGGACAGAGGCCAAAGTTTCCTAACAGGGAGTGTATACAGAAGGAATGTCTGGTAACTGCCTTTTGTTTCAGAAGATACTGTTTCAATATTCTTCCTAAATACTTAGATATATGATAAAGCAACAAGCTTAGAGGAACACTGTTTGCTTACATATGAGATGGAGACCTTATTCAATCTCCAAAATTTTTTAACATAAAAAACACACAGAAAAGCCCCAATTTCTAAGAAATTGGAACTGTCATCAAGTTCCCAGGTTCTCTTCCTGTCCGAAGCTAGTCACCCACAATCCCGTGAAGCCAGATGACGTAAACTGGGGTGAGAGGCGCCTACCTCCATTCTGCTTTGTTGTGCAGGAATGAGTTACACTGGTCAGAAAGCTTCGAATCGAGTGACATGGACTCCAGGATTGAAATGATTTGCTTGAAAGAAGGCCGTTTCTGAAGAAGAAAAAAATAATCACTTGTTGGGACTTAGGAAAGTAGATCTTTAAGAGAAAATCCACAAGCATAGTAATAAGGTCAAATCACCATAACAAAATAAGATATGATGTAATATCCTGATTTTGTTCTTTCACAACTGTCAGACTGCATAGGAACCATACTTATTTTCAATCAATTATTCATAATAGGCTCAGATGTAATTTTTCTATTGTGTTGTCTAAGGTTGGAATGCTTACAGTATTCTTCCAGGTAAGGAAAGTACTAATTAGTTCTCTTTCGGGTATGATTAAAGACTCCTGAAAGGAAACAGTTAAGTCTTTTAGAAATCTATCTATGTGATAAAGCAAGCATAGTAAAAGTTAACGGTAGGGTCTGGGTGATAGGGGTCTTCCTAGTGGTGCTAGTGGTAAAGAACATGTCTGCCAATGCAGGAGACATAGAGACACGGGTTGATCCCTGGGTCGGGAAGATCCCCTGGAGGAGGGCATGGCAGCCCACTCCAGTATTCTTGCCTGGAGAATCCCATGGACAGAGGAGCCTGGTGGCCTACAGTCCATAGGGATGCAAAGAGTCAGACAAGAATGAAACGACTTAGCATGCACTCATGCCAACACTGGGTGATAGGTATACCAGTCCTCACTGAAAAATTCTTTCAACTTTTTTATAATAAGCTGTTGGAGGAAAATTACTTATCAATCTAGCAGAACTTATACAATTTCCTAAACCAGTTGCTCAGAGAAAAAATTCCCCAATTTTAAAGCCATCATAACTTCACTGTTCTCAATGTTTATTCCACAATATAACTAGCTTTGGTGCTGGGAAACTCTCAGGTACTGTTTACCAGAAATTGAAAAAGCAGTGGTTAGGTGTATTTCTTTAGCTAGCAAAAACTACCCTAGTCTATCTCTTTAGACTCTAGCCAAGGTGGAGACAAAAGGTTAAAACAAAAACGGAGAAAGATAATAAAAGGGTGATGCACATTCTCTCTTCATCACGCCTCATAATTATACCATTTCTGAACAAATTACAGTTGCAGCAATTAAAACATGCATTTTAATTTAGGAGCACAAAAACAAGAAGAAAGAATGTTGAGGTGGCTTGCTCTTAGGACTTGAGCGTTTCCTACATTAACAAAGGTAATTTTTTCTTAGGAATATAAAACTGGAATATTTATTCTGAGTTCTTCCATTATTGTCCTCTTTCAAGGGGGTGTGTGTGTGTGTGTTTAAAAAAAGGGCATAGGTAGCTAAATGTCACTGATGGTACATTAAGCCTTGTAATAAGCAAAAAGTGCCTTAAGTTGGAAATTTGAAAAAATTATATTTGTCTTTGAATGTGTTCCCATTTTAATTTCTCCATCAATGTGTTAGGTAGCAACAGGAAAAATGTTTTGTTTGTACAGGAGCTAATTACATAATACATATAGGATTTTCATTTTTCATGGAAAAGAAGCAGGAGGAGCTGACAAATTTTCAAAGAATAATATTTTTCCCTACACTTAATCATTCTTGAGATAAGGTAAAACTTTTTTTGTAATTGGATGGCAAGTATCCCTGGAAAAATCTTTATTTCATATTTAGAATATGCTCCCAGATGGAAATTATCAAAGTGGACATTCAGAACATAGCAGAAATGTAGAATCATATGTTAATATTTCATGAGTATTTTGATCACAGAATACAACATGTGGTCTAGGATCTTCTTCCAAAGGGGCTTAGCTTCCTTTTATGTATTATGTAGGCTCTGTCTACTTAAAAAGGCACAACCAGAACCATTTATTAAGCATCTGTATACATTATTTGTTATCTTCATATTATAGGTAAGGAAGATCAGTCTGAGAAAAATATGAATTGCCTGGTATCACACAGGTAGCAAGTTACAGAACCAGGGTCTATCCTCTTAAATCCTTCAAAATATTTTATCACATAAGGGTAAGATATTACTTCCTATCAAACTTGCTAACTATTGCTTTGTCCTTTTTTAGAAATGTCATTTTAGAACTTGAACTAATACCCACCTTTACTTCCTTCTTCTCTTAAAAGAAAAAAAAAAAGTTTTTTTTTTTAGCACCTGATCAAACCCATTGGAATGACCCAACATTTATCTAATAGCAGTTTTTTCTCTTGTACACACTTCTACCTCCTCGTTGCAAAAGAACATATTTCTACAGGTGAGCTGAACATTTTAATCTATGTGTTAATACTCTATAGACTCTAAGGACTGAAAATACAAATAATTAAAATGTTTTAACCAACTACTGCTGTATCTATGTACACAGGACTGGCACCAACTTCTGTTTGAATTGCTATATACTTCTAGCCAGAGAAGAACTCCCTCGTGGCTCAGATGGTAGAGTCTGCCTGCAGTGCAGGAGACCTGAGTTAAATCCCTGGGTTGGGAAGATCTCCTGGAAAAGGAAATGGCAACTCACTCCAGTATTCTTGCCTGGAGAATCCCAAGGACAGAAGAGCCTGGCAAGCCCCAGTCCATGGGGTCGCAAAGAGTCAGACACGATTGAATGACTAATCCTTCCTTCCTTCTAGCCAGAAAACTAAAACATGCCTCTCAGGAAATAAACCTTGGTCTGGCCACTTTCGTCAACAACAAATTGTACATCTACTTGCTAAATTTACAGAAGATGCTATAGGGAAACAAAGAAAAACTAACTCTCTTCCCTCATGGAGCCTGTAATCCATTCAGGAAGAAAAGATATTTTAAAAATTGCAACAGCACAAAATGAGGCAGTAGCCCAGATTGTGGTTCAGGAAAAGGAGTACTTAGTATGGGCAGGGGAGACAGAATAACTGGGGAAGGCTTGATGATGAAGTAATCAGGAGGGGAAAGCAAAGAAGGAAAAGAACATCTTTCGGGAATAAAGAAGGTGTGTAAGGTATGTCTAGAGGAAAGAGCAATGACTTAGAAATGTGAGCTGGAGGCATAATCAAATTGAATATAAAGGGCATATATTAGTTGTATTAGAATAAAATGCCATGAATTTAAGAGACAAAAAAAACTGATCTAAACTTTCTTCATACTTCACAGTGTTAGAAGACAAGATTTCTCTCGTATTAAAGAAGCATCAGCTTACTACCTGTTAAAAAGACATGCCAGCTTCATGGCATCAACTCTGAACCTAATGTACTTATTGTGTAGCTGTTTATACTATCATTTAATTAATATACCATAAATGTATATTCTTAGATTTTTAATTAATGTAGTACAGAGTTACAGATTAAGAAATTAAAAACCTGCTTTGCATACTGAAATATAATTACAATTACAGTGATCTAGTTGCATTCATCTAATTTAGCAGTAATAATTTTGGGTGAAATTTCTATTTGAGTATCAGAGAGAAAGGGCTTCCCTGATAGCTCAGCTGCTAAAGAATCCACCTGCAATGCAAGAGACCCCAGTTTGATTCCTGGGTCAGGAAGATCCCCTGGAGAAGAGATAAGCTACCCAATCCAGTATTCTTGGGCTTCCCTGGTGGCTTAGCTGGTAAAGAATCCACCTGCAATGCGGGAGACCTGTGTTTGGTCCCTGGGTTGGGAAGATCCCCTGGAGAAGGAAAAGGGGATTCTGGCCTGGAGAATTCCATGGACTATGTAGTCCATGGGGTTACAAAGAGTCAGATACAACTAAGCAATTTCCACTTTCACATCAGAGATAAAAATACTACCCAAATGACCAAATATGCCACAATGGATATATAAGTGGTAGCATATGAAAAGATTGTATTTTAATCATATAAAATAAATATTCTACAGAAAGCTTGCAAATAGCCACTTATAATTTCCATCGGATTAGTTGCAAAGTGCAGGCATTTCTCTTCATGCTTAAAAAGCCCTATATTCTGCAAAATCACACACGAAAGTAGGGCCCACAGAGGGGCAAGACAGACCATTCAAAACCTATCAACTTTGTCAAAAAAATTAATAAAACAAAAGTAATCCTAAACAAAAGTACTAAACGGTTTAAAAATTGTTAAATTCTTTAATAAAAAAAAAATAGTAAATGCAGGACTCTAAAAAGGGTGAAGGTCAAAGTGAGAGCAGATTGAGCCTGCTGGTTTATCAGGGCCAGGGTGAAATGCACAAGGCTGGGGAGAAGCGGTGTCTTGGTTCTGTGTCCGTTGCTGCGCTACCGGCCACAATGATGTGCTTGGAGTTCAGTTGTTCTCACTTGTGGAATGGAACAGTGTGCTTTACTTACGATTCACCCTGAATTGTGTGATACTAACACGATTCCCATACTCACCAAGTGTTTCTGAGTTACTTCGTCTAGACAAACCACAGCTTTCTGTATCCATGGATTCAACCAACCAGAGTTCAAGTTGGCTGTTGAATGCGAGGAAGTGTAACCCCAGTTAGGGTGAAGGAAGGATCGTGACTGAATCACCCCATTATATATAAGGGACTTGAGCATCCATGGATTCTACTGGGGTCCGGAGACCTCCCCTGAGGAGATGAAGGGAATGGCTGTGTGCGTTATTACCATTCATTCTTCTTGAAGGTCATATAGGGAATGGGTTTAAATTAAGGAGGAAATTCCATTCTCAAGTCTTTTTTTTTTTTTCCTTTCTTTCTAGATCTATCTTTTAAAAGGTCAGTTTGTGATACACTTATTTCCATGAAAGACTGCAGAAATTTGAACTTTAAAATTTTAGTTCTTTTCTTGAGTCTATCTCTCTTATTCTGATATTTCATCTGTGAGGACCCTTTTTATTTTTAAACTTTTTATCACAGCAAATTCCAAACATACCCCAAAGTAGAGAGAACACCCTTCGTATACTTATCACTCCAAAAATCATCCCGGCCCAACCTACTTAATCTATACCATTGTTCATTTCCCTTCACTGTATTTTGAAGCAAATCCAAGACTCGCCTATCATTTTATCTATAAACACTTCCGTATGTATCTGACAGTCTTTTAAACCAATCTTTGCAGGGAAGGGAAATGGGCCATTTGTGCTTGAATGTGATAACCACATGAGAGCCTCAATTTTGGAATTTTTCCAACTCTATTGTGATAGCTTAAAAAACATCACTGAAACTCCACAGGGAGTGCATATCGAGCTTCTCTAGAGTGCTACTTTTGCATGGTCTTTGGTTAGAGAGGCAATGTGGTGTGGAGGGTTGAGTGCAGGGACTCACGTCACTCAGCTCGGGTTCAGCCTCCAGCTCCACCACTTACAAGCTGTGTGACCTTGACCTCACTACTTAACCGTGCCTTGGTTCTTCACATGTAAAATGAGGATACTAACAATACCCAATTCATAGAGATATTCTGAGAAATAAAGGAGTTGATATACTTAAAGTGTTCAGAACAGTGCCTGGTTTATAATAAGCACCGTGTGCTAGTATTTATATAACGTGAATGTGAAAGAGTTATTATTGAAGATTAAAAACAAGGAACAAAATTCTTTTTTACTGACTCAAGAATGCCAGAGTGCTGTAAGCAAGAGCCAGTAATGAGATTGTAGGTCTAATGCCAAGCAAATGTCAGCAGAAAGCCTTCACAGTCAATCTGGGGCTCAAAGGAGCAGCAACCCTGTTTTGCTCTGTAATGAATTTGATTAACCCACATTTTAAAAACTCAAAGCCAGACAATCAAGTGAGATTTCAGAACAACAACAACAACAACAAATAGATATATATATATACACCTTGGCATCAGCTTCCCAACACTGATGTAACAGTTCAGCAAAACTCCTGGGGCAACTGCTTGGAATGGTTAATCTCTATAAGAGAGAAAGAAAAAATAAGCTGAAACAAAACAAAATACAGGCATTTTCTCATTAAAGGAAGGAAATAACTAATTGGAAGATATGAAGGAACTAATTTAGTAGCATACACAAGACATGAAATTTAAAACATCCTTTGATTAATATGTGACTGGAGAGAATTTATGTTTAGATTCATAGTGTCTAATCTCTAATGACACTTTACCTTTTCCTCCAAAGAGGAATCAAAGTGGATGAAGAAATCAGGTTCAGAACAACAAATGCAACAAAATATAGAATCTGGTCAAAAGAAACTACGGCAGGAGAGGGGCAAGTTAGAACTTACATAAATCTAAACCATGAACCTATCACTGTATTTTTATAGGTAACTATGAAAATTGTAAATAGGCCAGGTAACTAGGAAACCAGTTAAGCTTTGGCAATAGGTGTGCAACTTCTGAAAACATCTTGAGCACACAGATAATTTTACAGAAGTGTTTTCTCAGTGGCAAATGAGACATTTTGAATGGATGACTCATCATGGCTTAGTTTTAGCCAAACCCATAAAACATAAGGACTTGATAGAACAAAGAATATAATGTGAAGACTAGTCTTGCTCTAACATTCTAGAGCAGTGGTTCTCATAGAACATGTAATTCCCCCAGAGGCAGTTTACAAATCTATGGAGACATTTTTGTTTTAAAGTCTGGAGGGTTGTACCTAGAGCAGGTCAAGAATGCTGACCATCTTTCAATATATCATAAAGCCTGATTAAAAATTCTCCTGCATTCCACAAAACTTCAAATGCCCCATGTGCATTCATGTAAGTAAGACAAGAAAACAATGAGCTTTATACTTTTCCGAACCTAGACTCTAACTTTGATTTATAAGTAGAGTATTTTTTGAATATTTTAAAAATACTCTGAACTTTTTCTTTTTGAACTTTCTATGAATGCAACTACTAAATGAAATAAATCAAGGGTATATTGATTTTTGCATTATTCATAACTTTACCATAATATTGGGAAAATCTTGCCTACAATACAGTGTTGCTCATGGTACTGGAATCATTAATACTCACAACAAACCATCTTTATTCTGTGTTTGTAGCTGTTGAATTCTATTTATTTATGTGTAAGCATCTAAAAATGTTCCATTATCATCTCTACTGTCATCATGCCTGAGCATTTATACAGTGCAATACATATTTATTTCTTCCTTATATTACATTTAAAGCATTATGTTGACTTAAAATACAATGTGTGTAGTAGGCTATATTACCACTGAATTTCCTTTCAGGGAAAAAGAGGGAGCATTAAATAGTTGTTATAAACAGAGTATTGTGTATGAAGGGGACTTCTCAGATCACTCAGTGGTAAAGAATCTGCCTGCCAATTCAGGAGACATGGGAGACTGGGGTTCGATCCCTGGGCCGGGAAGAACCCTTGGAGGAAATGGCAACCCACTCCAGTATTCTTGCTTGGAGAATCCATGGATGGAGGAGCCTGGTGGGCTACAGTCATGGGCTCACAAAGAGTTGGACATGACTGAGCGACCGAGCAGGCATTCACAGGTGTGACAGAGCTGAGAACCTCTGTAGTAGGAAGATTTTTTTTTAAATGTTGTTTGCCAAGATGTTTTGCAGATAAAAAACTTAAAACAATTTCACTGGATTTGGAGGAGGCTACATATAAAACTAGAAAAATAGTTGTCTTGGCAAGAAAACAGACAATCTGTATTTGGAATTAAAATCAGAAAACCAAAATAAATAAAACTTTAAAGCAAAGCTAAAAAAAAAAGGCAACTCTGCAAGTTAGAGACTACACTAAACATTTTTAAACCTCTGGTTTTGTGATTTCATAGACTAGAGTAAGATGTAGTAAACGGCACTATTATTTTACTGTAATGAGAACTGGAAACCTTTTCATGAAAGTACAGAAAATCAAGAGTTTATTTTTAAAAAAAGTAAGATCGTTTGGGGTGGCAACTAATATAAACAGTGACTGCAATTATGTGGCTGAATGCACATCATGTGTATTGAAAGACAAGTTTTCCTAACTGGTAACATTTTCAATGTAACTTTAGCACATTTTCCAAGAACTGAAATGTGAACTGGTTGAATATAGGTGTGGATCTTTTCATATTGACAAACTTTTTAGATACCACATGTGAGACATTATAAAAGGAGACATAATTATTTTAAATTATCTGACATGTTCAAATATCAGTTAAATCGAGACTCAGACACTATGTAAGGGATTATTTTGTTGCACTAAAAAGTACTTTTAAAAGAGAATCTAAAATATTTAAGTGTGATTATATAACTGGGTATTCTATTAAAACATCCTGAAACAATCAGATATTAGCACCAGGTTTGCAACACTACTTAAAACTTAAGTATTTAAAAAGAAAAGTTTCAAATTGAAAATTAAAATAATTCCCAATCAATAAATTAGGCATGACTTTTTTTTTTAAGATTATATTCTTTTTTTTGCACTATTTTCTACATAAGATGAGATAATTATTTTTTAAGTCAAGTTTATCTTTTTCTAAAGTGTAGTCAAGAAAAATGGATTAAGTTCTTGAGGACTTCCATGTTAGTAAAGAATAGTTGTTTTGCTACTTAGAATAAAACACATTTATATACTTGAAAAGATAGAGTTATACTGCCAGGACATTCTGAATGACTACTAATTGAGTTTTATGGAAAGTCCAATGGCATACAGATATACCTGTAAGATTTAAAAATTAGTAATACTCTCTTAACTTCCTGTCTTCTATAATGGTTCATTGTTTGCTTTGTAAAGTTTAACAGCATTTTGTGGATTATAGCTTCAATAGAATTTAATAATAGAAAAAGTTATTGTTGAAGACCTTATTTCATTATTAGGGGTTTGGAATCAAAGGCCTTCAGATATAATTTTTAGAAAGTATAGATGCAAAAAGCAATCCTAAATGGTGAAAACAAATAAGCTCTAGAGTCTAGTTAAGAGTAATGTATGAGTGTCAAGTTTCTGGTTCTGATATTTTATATATATATATATATATATATATATATATATATGTATCACGAGTAGGGGAAGCAGAGTGAAGGGTACACAGAATTCTTTGTAATATTTTTGCAACTTCCAATGAGTCTAGGATGACTAGCTCACATTTAAAATATCTCCCTGAAAGTTTAAACATGTCATTCTTTATTTAAATGAGGCCTTTGAAAAACAGTTACAGCTTTCTCTTTTCAACTCAATAGCCCAAGCTATTCCAAAGCAAAAATAAATAAAATAAAATAATTACAAGTTGAAGGGATTTTTATAAATTATATTTAAGTCAAAGTCTCAATTTTATTATAAATAAATCCTTGGGAATTATTTTAATGCTATCTCAACAGAATTTGTTTTGTTAATAAGGGCCACTATTTATGAGGTGAAATGAAGACATCTTCTTGAATGATGACAATGGAAACTACATTTGAACTTAATTTCCATATTTCTGATAAATGAAATAAATGTGCAGAATGAGAATGGATAAATACCCTTGTAGCACCTAATTTGCATTTGGTTCACTAGAAAGTTGAGAAAATACATTTCACCATGTGGGTTTCTTTCAACTGACTATTATATTTAATAAATACAATAGGGAAGGCATTTGAATAGTCTCCATCTGTTATTAGCTGATTATCAGATCACCCCATGGATAAAACAGTACACTCTAGGGGATTCCCTAGAGAGAAACAGGGAGATGGCCTCCTCATGTACCCATTGAGGAGGTCCTGAAGGTTATTTATGGGGGATTCTCAAGCCTCAAGTCAACTATTCAAAGGCAGCTTCTAAATTCATTTTTTTCTTCAGCTTTAAAAATCCTTGATGGATGCTCCAATATTTTCAAAGTGCTTTAGATTCACAGCTATTCTGCCCTCCTTTAGATGAAATATTATTTAAAAATATTAATTACTCTGTCTTATACATATTTGGAGAGTTCAGTCAGCTTTAAAATAAAATTTCCTCCTACTTTATTTTGAAATGATACAGAGGAAAAAAATGACATTGAGTGTTCTGCTCCAAAGTCAACAGAAGGTCAATAACCTTCTTTACTCTATTTGTCAACCCAGAACTAAATGTCTAATCATCTCACTGGCAAAAGAAAGTGAACAGAAACAAGTGGGTTCTCATACCATGAAAATAATCAGTTACACTGTGTGTGAGGTCTGATTGAATAGCACACCAGGAAAAACCACCACATTTAATTAAAACAGAACAGCCTCTGTGAAACAATGAGTAACACACATTCTTAAATATTACACCTTTTAATTTTTCTTTAAATTGGCAGCTCTCTCCCATCAACTTCAGCTATCATGAACATTTAGTCCAATCTCAATGGCTCAGGAGGACAAATTAATAATGTAACTGTGGATTATGTGATATAAATATGAAAACTTGGCTTCTCTCAGTCAATAGCAGCTTTTTGATTGATCTAGTTTGTTCCTGCACTCACCATGGAGAGCAGATCAATCTAATTCTTTTAAGGCATTAAAAAGGGAATATTACTACATATTCACCTTTTTGCAAATTATTTTATCCTAAGGCTGCACCCTTCCCTTTTGTGGCGGGCACAGATAAGATGTGGAAATGAAGAAGTTTTGTGAAATAAAGTTGTTTTGCAGTGTTGCAAAGACAACTGCGTGCCTCCATCACTTGATCTAAGTTCTCATAATACCTTGATATTGGATGCTTCATCTTTATGCTGAGAATTTCCATGGCTGTGCATTTCAGTCACAATTTTAAACCTTTCAAAATGTAGTTGCTCTCTTTGATATGAATGTACCATGTTCTCTGATGTAGGCTCATAGGTCCAACTAACTGAAAGCCTCAATTTGTGGGAAGAAGAAAAGCGAGGCTGGGGACACAGCACAAACGCTGTTTACGCCACTGAAGTTCTTTTGAAATGGAAAGGCTCTGCATGAAGAAGGGAACAGTTATGCCACTGCCTCGCCAATTCCAGTGAGGAGCTCATCTTCAATGTAGTGTTCAACGTAGGTGGCAAAACTGTAATTTTTCCCTTTTTTGAAACTATTTTTTCTTCTTTTATTTTTGAAATTCTCATCTAAGCGACAGTTTCTTGTACTATAGTGACTCCTGCTGGGAGAGGTAAGTTGAAGTAGCTGAAGGTCTCTTACAGATATATCAACTCCCGGACAGTAAAAAAGATGTCCTAAACGCAGGAGATGGAGTTAAACTGTTCCCCTACCTTGGACGCAATGGCTTCTTTCATCACTAAGAACAAACCCCTAGGTTTTACAATTGAGACTGAGAAACTAGTACAGTACTTGTACAATTTTTGATCTACAGCATCACGACGTGAAGCTGCAACAATTAGATGTAAAGGGTCCATTCATGAGGAATAACATCACTTTGACCCTTTGTGTTAGCTCCTACTGCTAATCTTTCCATAAGCGTGAACTTACTTTCAATTTGAAGAAGATGAAAAAGTCTTTTGCAAAACCCCAATACTGTTTTCTGATCTATGTACCTGAATGGGGAATCGTAGTCTTACCTCGTTTTTTTCCACTACAAGCCAAGCTACTTGTAATCCTTCCAAACCTTTAAAGGGGACCTCCCTTGTTAGCATCTCCCAGAGAACCTGGAACAAAAAGGAAATGGAATTTTATTCTTGTACTTTATATTTTTGGTATATTACTGAAACTTTAACATTTAACTGTATCCAATTACCAGATACAACCAACTCCATCTATAGAAACTTGGGCAAAACATATATATTCATGCATAGGGCTTCTTCCATATATTTCATACATGTACATATATTTTGTTGCTGCTGCTGTTCTTTTTTATTTTAAAAAATCTACTTTAGGAAGTAGAATTCTAGATCCGGGCTTAAAATCTTATGAAACCGATGCGCCTAAGTGATTTAACTGTATTTTGTAAATTAACAGAATTCCCATGGATCACCATAAACTAGATTTTACACTTTGTTAGTCAAAACTCTTTGCACCTTCAATCTCTGATAAATTTCTCTATAAGAAAATAACTGGGAATTCAAACATATTTTCAAAGCTTCAATAACAGTCTCATTAAAAAGAAAATTGAGCCTCAAATCCAAATCACTGGCTAAACCACTTATTCCACAATGGTAGATACTTGCAAAACTAACATTTAGATTTTGTGTTTCGGAGAAATCTTTCTCAAAATGAGTCAGTCTAAGGGATTTATTTTCATCCACCTATGATATAATTTATTATATTATATTCTAAAATGTAATAAACACCCATGTACATATATAGGCTGTATGCATGTGCATGTGTGTGCAAATGTATGTATATGTTATCTCTCTGCAATCCTTGAGATTAGCATGATTAATAAATTCACACTGGAATGCTGAAACAAAGCAAACTGATGTGGGAAATGCTGAAAAAAGCCAATGATTTTGTATTCTCTTTAAACTCTGAGTCATGGAGATTTTTGCTGCCAAGGTAGGTCAATGGTAAAGAATCTGCCTGTCAATGCAGGAGACATGGGTTCAATCCCTGGGTTGGGAAGATCCCCTGCAGCAGAAAATGGCAACCCATTCCAGTATTCTTTCCTGGAAAAACCCATGGACAGAGAAGCCTGTCCAGCTACAGTCCATGGGGTCCAAGAGTCAGACACAAGTTAGCAAGTAAACAACCACCACAATGGAGATTTTTACATTCAGTCACTTTATTTATACAAATGAGTATCCAGATTTGAGTCTACCGATACTTTTGTGAAGTGCAAAAACAATTACAATTTTATCAATAATAGCATAATAATAACAGCCACTATCATTTATTGAGTGATTATGTTCCAGGTACTCTGTTAAGCCTTTAGATAGCTATCATGATTAATCTCAATCCCATCAGATAGATATCTTTCTCATTGTATAGATGAGGAAACTAAAGCTTAAAGAAGTTAAATAAACTTGCCCAAAGGCATTCAGTTATCAGGTGACAGAGCTAGAATATGAACTTGCTGTCTCACTCTGAAAGTCAAGGCCTCAACAATAGATAACTATAGAGATGGAAGAAACAAGAGTGCAACAGGCCCTAGTTGAGGTAGGTTTGGAGCCAAGGCAGAAGCAAAGACATGCGGCACCTCAGCTTGACATTTCTGTTGTTCTGAAAACAAAAACTCATTTCTAAATAAGAATGCAGACTGAGAATATACACTCCATTCACGCCAATCTGATACCCACTCTTTCCTCACCGGGTGCTCAGTGTTACTCGAGCCGTAACATGTTAAATGAGTTCTGGCTAATATACTAAGACAATTAGCAGGAAAATCAGGGAAATTGGCAGATGCTGCTCAAGCAGGAGAAAAATAATTCCCTGAAGCTTCTTTGGGCTTTTAATCAAGTGTGTAAGGCACTTCTTTAGAAGAGCTACTGAATAATTCTGTTCGAGTCACAGAAGTGATTAGGAAAAGGTAAGGGGCACCCCAGAAGGGGCTGGTTCGCGCAAATGCTGGAAGCACAGGAAAGGTGAGAGCCAGAACAGGCGCGTGGTCGCCTGACACGGGGCAGTGGGCGGGCATGGCGGCGGCGGTGGAGATAGGCGGGAGCAAGAGGGCTGAGCGGGAAATGAAGCCCCTCGATGTACTGCAATCACTGCTTCCTGGTGTTGGGGCTGGGGGGGGGCAGGGGTATACAGAGCAAGAAAATGAAGGGGTTTGGCATTCTCTGGAAAGAATGACTCTGCCTCAAATGCCCAGGACACCAAAATGTTTAGATGAGCAGCCTGGTGCCTCTCCTTTCAGAGTCTGGCCTTCTGACCTGTCTGCACAATACACCCCCCCCCCCACCCCACCCCCCGCCAACACACACACAAAAGCTGCTTGGGTTTTTTGTGGGGCAAGATGCAGAACTAAGAGCCTGGGGAATGACACCAGAGAAAGATTTATGTCATTCTTTATCCCAAAATATTCCACTGGGAAGTGTCCAAAAATCTAATAGGATCAGAGTTATATTTCTCCAAGGGTTCCAACCCTGGAAAAAATAAGATAGTTTCATTCTATTCCCTCCTGTGTCTCTAAAGACCTACCCCAGGGAGTAGCCACCTAATGGATGTGAAACTAGCAAGAGTGGCGTCCTGAACTGCTGGATCCTGAAGCCCAAATGAGATCTTGAGTTGAATTCCAGGGTCAGCACATCTCATGATTCCCTATTATTTATCTGCCAGCTTCAGAAATGTATCAAAAAGTAGGTGATGTGAGATAGGACAACAGCTTTTCCTACTGAGCAAAATCACATTTGGCACAAAAAAAGTAACTTAGTTGAGGAAATCACTTGGAGGTCTAAAAATATATTAAACTATGCCTGAAAATATCAGTTATGGGGATGCAGGCCAAACATTATTGTGATCTTTCACCTTAAAAATATTTTCCAACTCATGTTATATTGAGACATCCCTACATTTAAACTGGGCTTGCAAGGAAAATTTCTATTTTCAGCTTACGGAAGAGAAACTTGGACAAGCCTGTGTACTTTTCCTGCCTTTTCTTTTACAAACAATGGAAAGCCATTACCTGAGCTGGGTGGTTCTGGAACAGGGCTCATAGACGAGCGAAGCCGTGATGCTCACTCCGAAGCTGCTCTATTTTCAAAACTGGCTTTGGCTGAGAAGCTTTGGAGCAGGTAATCCTTTCTGCATTGCCACTAGGAGAGCTTTGTTTTTAAAGAGTGGTTAGGCCTTGGGTTCTCAGAATGCTTATTCTTCAATGATTCTGGCTTTCCTGAACTCTTCTTTTTTTGTGGATAATATCCTAAACACTCCTTCAAGAGAGGTCATCAGAAGAGGACAGAAAAAAATCTACTTCCTTATAAAATACAAACAATGGCCTGCCTAGTGAAGTTTACCAGCGTAGAAGCAAGGATCATAAGATCCATTTCTGGCGTTTCACCAGCACATTTATTTTAAGGCTGTACAAGGCTGGCTAGTCTCACAATGTGTTAAGAAGAGCCAAAGGTTAATTAAGCTGCAGAGGGCCAGGGACTTTAAGTCTATGAAGGGCTAAATTCTTACAGCAAGTTTGAGAAAGAAAGATAAAAAGCAAAAATACATTGGGGTTTTATGGGTGGGTTTCAAAAATGACAACTTTTTTTATGGTCTTATTCATCTGCATGTGACTGCTATGTGAGTAGGGGGGCTCAATGAATGGAACAGACTTCTAATGAACTATGGGATGTCTTATGCAAGCAAATATACCTATTGACAAAGAAGTCCTGCTTACTCACCTGTTTTGAAAGGACATGAGAAACTCAATATCTGCATTGCTTCCTTAGATAGATAGCATTTTCGAAGTTTATGGACTATAAACTTCTAAAACTAACATGGTCCCTACCTTAACAACTATCCTCTCCTGGACTGCTCCCTTGGGCCTGTGATGCTTTCTTGACTAAAAAAATTTGTGATTGTTTAAACAAATAGGATCCATAAAGCACACTCTGTACTTTTCCTCTCACTGATGTTGTTGAGAGTAAAACCGGAAGGAGTCATGATTAAATAAAATCCTGATTTGTTTTTTATAGCTAAATTAGCATATGTGTACTTTTCTGAATGGAATTCGGCTGATGCAGCCACGGGGTAAGAATAACCAGCATTCTGAGTAAACCTCTCTTTCAGACAGTGAAAAAGCAGCCGCTATTTTAAAACTAACAGATTTACTGAAAAGGCTTACCCTCCCCCGCCCCACCCAGTTAAAAGGAGACTCTAACAGGAATACAGAATTAATATTCAAAAGCATGTGACTGAAGCAAACAAGTTCTGAAGAGCAACACAGATCTGTAAATATACAGCAACCCTGGAAAGGTTCAGTGACTGGCTCTAAGGTTTACTGTAAGATTGACTGCTTGATAGAAAGAGCTGTTAAGCGTTTGATAATCTCTCAAGGCTTCCCTGGTAGCTCAGACAGTAACAAATCAGCCTTCAGTGCAAGAGATCTGGGTTTGATCCCTGGATCAGGAAGATCCCCTGGACAAGGAAATGGCAACCCACTCCAGCATTCTGGCCTGGAGAATCCCATGGACAGAGGAGCCTGACGGGGTCACAAAGAGTCAGATACGAATGAGCAAATAACACTTTCACTTTTCAATCTCTCAAAACAAAAGTAGAATCAGTAAATATTGAAAACCTAATTCATAAAGAGAAAGGTTCAAGGCCCATCTACTGAGTAGTGGTGAGCAGTTCGTTGAAGGGAAAGCTTTTTAATAAAATAAGCTGAACATCTGCAGGTTCAGAAGTCTTGATTTAAACTACATTTAATATGGTGGGGGGTGTTTAATGAGTGAAATGAGTGAAATGGATTACAGAAAGATACAGCAAAGACCATAAGTTCCACAAAGTCATCTCTTCATATCTTTTGTAATTTCTATGTGGAAGGGAATTTGTTCCTGGTCACTGGAACCAAAACTCCATTTCAGCTAAGGAAAAGCAGGTGGGTACATTTAAACAAAGTCCTGGGCAATTGTAAAGCTTTGGGAAAAGGCAGTGTGAACTGTGCTTTCATAAATGAGATAATACTGAACCCCAAAATTCACTCTATACAGAACTCACAGTTGTGTCCTTCCAGTCAAAGATTTCAGAGGCAGGGAAATTCCAAGATGTGGAGAGACTTTTAAAAGTAAAAGCACTGCCTGAGAACTTGTAGAGTGCTAAAATAAGCCTTAAAAGTCTTCTAAACCACATAAATGTGCAATGTAACTTAAAAACACTAACCATCTAAATATATTTATACATGTTTACATCCATAGGCAAGGGGAAAGAGTGAGAACTATGGTCCCTACAGATAGCTGAGTGCTTTTAACAGTTTTAAATGGTTGTATAAAGCAAAAGAATATACAACAGAGACACTGTAAGTGGCCCTTACTATCTGGTCCTTTATAGAAAAAGTTTGCTGGCTCCTGATTCCACAGGATAAAATGAAACGCTGGACCAAAGAAGCAGGCAAAGTCAAATTTAAATTGCCCTAAGTTGGTGTCTAGCACAGTGCCTGACATAATAAATAGGTTTTTACTTTAAAATGAAGGAACATAACTTCATTAGGAGGAAATAATCTCACAAAAAGTCTTAAATTGCAACAAATTTCTCCATTTTCATACTCCCCAGCAGCTGATTTGCAGGATGGTTAGAAAGTAGTAATTTTAAAAGTATATTTATTTATTTATTTTTGGCTGAGCTGGGTCTTTTTGCTGAACACAGAATTCTCTTCTTGTAGGGCCTGGACTCTAGGTGCTCAGGCTTCAGTAGTTGCTGTGTGTGGGCTCAGTAGTTGTGATGTATGAGCTTAGGTCCCCATAGAATTAGTTGTATGTGGAATCTTCCCAGAGCAGGGATTGAACCTGTGTCCCCTGCACTGAATGAACCACCAGGGAAGCCCAGAATGGAGTAACTTTTGACATACGGGATCAGCTTTAGAATTTATTTCTTCACGAACTTCTGGGCTTTCCCCCTTCTTTTGATAAGAACTATTTGATCACTGTCTAAAATAGGTTATAACTATACCCCACTATAAAATAATAATAATTTAAAAAGAAAAGGATGTTAATTTTTTAAAGAAGTGATAGCCTTCATTCTTAGAAACACACAGAATTAAGGAAAATTAGATATTTAGCCTGATGCTACTACTGTCTTCCAAGCTTTACAATCCAAGCCTTTCACCAAAAACATGTATTTCATTTATGATATGATTTTTTTCAATAGCCAATAAAATTGATATTATATACATCTGGTATACATAAGATGTAGTATGACAGAAAAAGCTAGCGAACTGAAACCAGCCCAGAATTTACTGAGGCCAGCAGAAAGTACCTAGATTGACTCTAAAGAAACAGGAATGGGTTTGACAATGTTGGAATGCTCCTGTGCCATCAGCTATCACCTTAGATGAAAACACAGAAAGTCAGGAGGAAGAGGCATGTTGGTCTGGTCTAAAGTTAGACAGCTTTCTCCCCCATTACTATGAAAATGTCCTTTAAAGAAGTAACAATATAGAGAGGCAGTATGATCGAGAGATGAGAGGTGAAGACTGGGGTTCCAAATACTATTTTTTTTTTTTTTAAGCCTTGCTGGCTGTGAGAGGCATGTGGGCTCTTAGTTCCATGACCAGGGATGGAAGCTGTGCCCCTTGTATTGTGAGTGCAGAATCTTAACCACTGAACTGCCTGGGAATTCCCTCCAAATGCTATTTTGGGCTTTTTGTAAAGGATATATATATATATACAGCGGTTTTAGGGATAAAAATCTTATCCTCAAAAAAAGGATCCAATGAATTCCTTCCTCCACAAAGAGCTGCCCTGCCCACTCTCCCCTCCCACCCCTCCACTCCCCTGTTGCCCCACTTCTTCCTCTCTGCTAATTCAGATACAATTTATTCCTCAAGAATGATTGGTCTCAAAACTCCTCCTCTGGCAACTCCTCCTTCTGCTTCTTCACCGATTGGCTCCTGTGGTCTCTATTCCTTGAGCTTCCCACCTCCAATGCCCACAGTATTCTATTCTTATAACTAAGTTGCTGGGCCAGTCTTCTTCTGTGAAACCTTAGATTCAGGTTTCAGACAGCCACCCTATGAGACCTGCAGCACACATGGGCAAGGCCATGTATCAGATAAGTACATTTTCTTGTGCATTCTCCAGAAACTCACTCATCACTTTAATGGCTGACACTCAAAAATTTCCTGTTAATTAACTCATTTAGCGTATCTATGGGTGGTTTTTGAGCAACACACTACAGTGAAGTCCCATTCTAAAGGATCTACATTTCCACTGACTGATAGAGATATTCTATAGTCATATGTCCACCCAGGAAAGCAGAAGGGCATCAGATCTAATACTATTTGAGGATGCATCTAATTTGCTTCTTACAAATGGCACTGGTTTCTTCTCAACACAGGACAAAATAACTCAAAAATGAACAGAGTAAACCTTCAAATAAAAAATATTCTCTTTGTTGCCACCGCTCTGGATATTCTATCAAGAACAGTATCATTGCTTTAAAACCATGTTAAACTGTTACACACTACTTCTGTACATTGTTTCCTTTTTAATGCCCTTTAGTAACAAAAAATGAGAAATGAACTCACCACACCATAGGAATATGTGTCACAAGTTTCAGACACAGGGAGACTTTGGATAACTTCAGGAGCCATCCACGGGAAAGTTCCAACCAAGGACATATGTGTTGTATGGTTGTGGAACCGTGAGGCACCAAAATCGCAGATCTGAGAAAAGAGAAAGGAGTATCAACTTTCTTTTTACTAATAAAACAATCATCAATCATAAAACCTACATCTGAAATTAACCAAATTTCTTCAAATTAAAAAAATTAATAGTCCTACCTTCAACACCCCATCAGCTGCTATAACAACTAAAAGGGAAAAAAAGATAAATTATGAAAATCATCCAGTTTGAGTTATACTGAAAAAAATCATAAACTTCTATTTTTATCTTCCATGTGGCATTCTGAACGGTAAAATCAAAGTATTTACCACACTGAAGATTTTACAAAAAGGAGCTGACATTAAAATAAAAATACAAAACCAATTCTATGAGGTGCTGATTAAAAGGGTTTTAAGACCCTGTTTTAAATTATATGTAGCATTGTCTAGTAAAAAAGGCATAGATCAGCTGCAGTCAAGGGAACCAAATTTTCACTTGGATTCTGACACTAGACTGTCAACATTCTACTGAGCAAGTCATTAGCATTATTGCATCATGGTAAATATGGTTTTTCCCTCCCGTTTAAGAGTAATTTTCTTGAAGGCGGAGATAATGCTTATCTATTTACATTATACATACATTCATTTAACAAATATTTGTTGAATATATGCTGTGGGCAAAGCCATGTACTATGTTCTAGCAGAGGAAGGTGAGCAAGAAGACTGGCACTGAGCTCTGGTGGAGCTTACAGTCTAATGGTAAACAGAGGTAAGCAGACACCTATAATAAAGCGGGATAAGTTCTGTGATGAGAGGTATGGAAATTGCCATAGGACCAAATAGCAGTCTAAGAAGTCAAATTGTAAGCAGGTCGAAGTTCCGCGGAAGAAATGATGCTATGCTGAGACCTGAAGAACAAATTAGAGCTATCCAGAAGGAGAAGTGGGGGAGGAAAGCAGTTTTCCAAGCAGAAGAGTGAGCTTGTGAAAAAGGTCAGGAGCAGAGGAAGAGGTATGCAGTTTGGAAAGTAGGGGCCAGGTCCGGAAGAGCCTCTGATAGAAACGGAAAGCCAGTGAACAATTTTAAGCAGAGGAACGGAATGGTCAAATGTGCACAGAGGAGCAGAATACGAGGAAGGAGATCACTGTGCAGGCAGGGCTGTAGCCCAGGAGAGATGATGATGCCTGCACTAAGTCTCTGAAAAGGACAGGAGAGAAGTGGACCAAGTCAAGAAACTGCTTGGAAGTAGAATCAACTGGGCTTGGATAACTGGCTATGGGGGAGGGAGAGGACTCAAAGAGGAAATAAAACACAGGCAATATGGCATAATGGTTATAACAGGAACTCGGCAATCAAACCGTAACTCCTTTTTAAAAATTTGATTATGGATTAGGCAACTGGTATTGTCACTCACTGAGACAGAGAAGGCAGGAATAATTTGTTAGGGGATAGGGAGAAGATGAAAAGATCAACTTGGACACAACACATTTTAGGGTCATACAAAGTACCTATGTGAATATGTTCAATAAACAGAGACATAGTTTTGAAGTTGAGATCTATTTGACAGTGCGAAGATCAATTAGGGCTTTTATGGGAGTGGGTGAATAAAATATAAGAAGGGAGAAGGTCAAGGACAGAATCCTAAAGGAATGTTTCTAGCATTTCCTTTGTAAGCCACACAATGCCTTGAACATGGTATATTATCAGTACTTATTAGGTATTACTAATGACCTTGACAAGTGGGGAAAATAATCTTTTCATGATCCAATACACAGAAATAGCCTAAGGTTAAATCTAATACTATATATAATAAGCTATACATTTTTCAAATATTGTTAATATTATATTCAGTTATTTTAAAAATACTTCTATCTTTTCATAAGATCAGTGTTTATTTAAAAATCTAAGATCATAAAACTATATAACTTAGAAAATGAAAAAAAAACTTAGAAAATGAAAGTCCTACTATTCTCTCTTGCCTCCCAAAATTGTTAAAAGTTAGCTCTATATTGTTTCAATGTGTGTATGTTTTACCATCAAGTAACTATACAACTATAGTTTCTAAAAACACAAACATTCTCCACTGTTAGTTTCATAAAGACATTTTGAATAATTTAACCATTATCTCATGGGATATTTAAGATATACTGATAAATTATGTTAAAAGGAGAGACATTGAACACTTATTTAGATTGAAATTCTGAGCAAGAATTGAAAATATGAAGTCATAAACTCTGATACTTTCTACTAGATTCTAGATTATTTCCCAAAGACTTCCTGTTGTGCATGCGTGCTCAGTGACTCAGTTGTATCTGACTCTCTGCAACCCCATGGACTGTAGCCCACCAGGCTCTTCTGTCCATGGGATTATCCAGGCAAGAATACTACAGTGGGTTGCCATTTCCTCCTCCAGGGGAACTTCCCAACCCAGGGATCAAGCCCATGTCTCCTGTGTCTCCTGTGATGGCAGGCAGATTTTTTTTTTTTATCACTGAGCCACCTGGGAAGCCCAGTGACCTCCTGTTAACCCATGTATGTATATTAAAAGTTTTTAGCTCTGAGAAACCTACGTCTAAGGAAAGCTAAAGGATAAGGGATGAAGCCTAGAAAGGGGCAAGAGCAAGGAGCCAGAGTTAACTTCAGGGTTGGGGTGGTGGGCCAACCTGAACTGCTGAGGCGTGGCAGCTCCCAACAACTTCCCCGTCTCCACCCCACAGACGTCATGGTCCTGGGCAGCTGGTCAAACTCCTGAGTTCTCTTTCTCTACTGACCATTAGCATGTACCCATTTTAACTGCAATGATTTAAAGATTTTCTAAAAAGAAACTGTTTTTAGAAGAATCACTTAGAAAGCAAGTAAATAAGTAAAGCATGCAAATGAATCGATATCAAGATTTTTTTTTTTAAGTAGCAAACTCTGATGCAAGTCCTCAGTGCTGGCTAGTTAAATACCACCACTGCCTTTCTCCATTAATTTTCAAGGGACGTAATGGAAGAAGCATTCAATTACCACTCCTACTTGAAGGTAACATCTAATCCTGCAAGTCATTTAAAAATGCTCACTCTACAAATTATAAAATACAGGATCATAAATAAACTTTAAGAAGCAGAGAAGAGAAAGAAGAAAAAGAAAGCTTTTACTTTCCAAACCCCGCTGATCATTTTTGGGCACTCCCCCAGGTAATATGAGTGACATAAAAAATTTACACCAAATAATTCAGGAGTAACAAGAACAAAACTCAAAACGGCTAGTATAGGGAGTCATCTAAAAATAGAAGTTAGAAATACACTACCACTATGTGCTTGGATCCAGCAATACCTCTTTTAGAAAATGATTCTAGATAAATAATTAGGGATGTGTTGAAAAATTTTGCTGAAAACTATTAAGCTTAACTTTTTTTTTTAATCATAGAAAAAAAAAGTAAACCCAAATGTCCATATTCTGTGCTATTTATATACTGGAATATTATGCAGCCCCTTGAAATAATGGGGGGATTTTTAATTTATTAATAATGGAAAGATTTTCATGGTATTAGGTGTGAGTCAAACAGCAGGTTACAAAAGATATGGAAAGCATGATGCTTATTTCTATACAAAGGTGCATGTATTTTATAATAAAATAGGTGAGATAAAAACATACGATTACTTTACCATTTCTTGACTTGAGATCTCTGTGAATCACTTTGACAGGAGCCTCCATATGTAAATAGTGCATTCCTTTTCATACAAAAAGAAATATAATTAATATAGTTATATTATATTATAATAGAAATATAGTTAATATAATTTTCCACATTACATCAGTATTACCTATCTATTTTAAACATCAGTATTACTTTCCATATTTTCACAAAGGATTTAATAGCAAAAACTAAATCCATGTGCTCTATTCTCCCATGATAGATAAAATGGGACAGGACATGCCTACACTAGGAAAATTTAAATACTATGGAAAGTGTATGTGCTTTAATGTCATATAAGTTGTAATTTGTGGATAAAGCTAGCTTCTCACAGTATCCAATAGGACACCTTGATTTTCTGGAGTCTGCACAAAATAGCCCTCTCACCTCAATCAAAACCATTCCTTTGGCTAATGAACTATCTGCTGAACACAGTTTAATAATGAGGCCTTGGTTCTTTTTTCAGTATATAGAAATTTTCAGTTTTATAAGGGCTAATTTTTAAAAATCTATTATTTTCTACTTTCTAGTTATTATATATAGAAGAATCATGAAAGAACAAAGAAAAGTTTCAAAAAACTTAAACTCTTGTCATTTAAAGTTATTACTGAAGAGTCAACAAAAGTATTAGCAATTCAAATATCTTAAATAAAATGTAACTGGAATAAAGGAAATCTTTCTTCTAATATTAAGTTCTACATATTCCAAGTTGTGAAAATTCAATAGCTACAACTTGGGTAACTTTTAATAATTTTTATGACAGAATTTCATAGTTATTTCTCTCTTGCTTTAAGAATCCAATTCCTGAATAATTTTTCAGGTAGAAACTGTTTAATTACTATTAGAGGTAGAGCTCATTTCTACATTTGCTGACAATAAAGAATTTAAAAAAACACTCAAGCACAAAAGCTTTGAATATAGGGACTTTTCTTCCTCACTGCAGATATTATGAGAAGTATCATATTGTATTGAGCAAGCTGGTATCTGTGTATAACATAATACATTTATAGAATATTTAGTGTACATAAACAGTTGTAATCACAATCATATAAAATTCTATTTAGTGTGTTTTGATAGTGCTATCTACAATTCTGCCATATTTTTATTGCAAGAAAACAGGAAAAATATCTCCATCACCTTTAAAATTCAGGGTTTCCTAAAAAAGATTTCACAGGTGTCATTTTGGGGAGATTTGGAATCAATGATGACCATTTGGAGACTGGATCCAGGTTTGTTAACTTTAATTGTTCCTTTTACCCATTGCTGGCTGACTTGCAGCAATTTCAGATATACTGGTCTGCCCTCCTTCCCTCTTCCCACTCAGAAAGAAGAGAGTCTGTTTTGCCTTTGAGAAGGTTTTCTCTTTCCAGTGATGTTAAGCAATGCCTATTTCAAAACTGCATGAATCAACTCTTATTTGAAATGAATTATTCATCCTCTGATTTCTCAACATCTTGTTGCTTCAGTGGCTTCAATCATGGTCAAACTGAAGGGCACAGCTGAATTCAAAACTGAATCAACAAAAATCAAGGCTTCCTATGTCATCTCCAAGTTCCACACATAGCTTTATCAAAGAGGGTGGAAGTCATTCTGAAAGCATTGATTTCTTTTTCCTCTTGTAGGCCATTTTAACTATTAAGAACTACCTGTATAGTTGTAAACAACTGTCTTCTCTGCTTCACACTTCTCACCTGAGGCTGAACACATTAGAACTTGCCTTTCAAATTAATTCATCAGCCACCAAAAAGTAATTTCTATTACTGTGTAGTTTTGGACACTCCCATCTTCTTCATCCCAGTTTTTCACCTCTAGTTCCAGTTTGCTGTTTAGTCCTACTCCTTCTCTTCCTTTTCTTTCTGATACTGCCAAGACTCTTGAGAAACCCCAGGAATGACGGAGCTGATGTGGAGCCAAAGGACTTGCCCCACAGACAGGGACTGCTGCAGGGGAAGGGATCAGGAGGGATGAGGGTTACAGGCGAGGGGCCAGGGAAGCCAAACAGCGTGCACAGCAAGACCAAGTGACTGGTGTCAGCTGATTTGTTTGCTATCCATCTTAAGTGTCATTAAGTAACAAGATGGGTGTAATTGGCTGAGCACCCTAAAGGCAAATGTCTGTAGGGTGAAGTGCTTTAAGTCAAGGACTGCTTGTATATGTATTTACATTTCTCTAAGAGTATTTCCACAATGCTTCAGGCAGTTTCCAATAACAGCACATTACCCAGCTTACAAACAGGTGGCCCCTGATATGCAGAGAAGTGGCTATGATGTTCCATGAAAATGTCTTGAAAAATGAGAAATTTTAAGACTGATTTGAGATGTCTCATGCATGAATACACAATTAAGTTAATTAACACAGCCAAAGGCTTAAGTACATCATCCTAAACATAGAGCTTATTATTCTTATAAGGTAATGAAGTATCACTCAAGCTGCAGCATTTTGCATGAAACTTTTTTTTTTTAATTTCCACTTTCTCTATTTGAAGAATTTGGCAGGTGTTGATGAAACTTAAAACAGACAGGATAATTCCCCAAAGGAAAGACTATTACTTTTGGAAGTCTCTGTGTGACTTTCCAGTAAAAGCGAAGTATGAGTTGCTTTCCTTATTGAGCACTAAATATCCTTTTATTTGCTTTGTGAAGAAATACTTATAGAGATTGGAGCAGCAAAATGCAAAGGAGCTAATTGCCCCAGTAAAATTTGGACACACTTGCTTTCCAGGGGTTGCTAGAATACAAATGTAACCATCAGCATTCATTATTTAGATTAAGTTGTTTCCAAAGCAACTTTGACAGTTATAAATAAAACTCAGAAACATTCAGTTAGGAAAATGGAAAAAAGATAAAAATAAATGGAGTTTAAATTGCTTTAGAGAGCACTTGTCTATGAAGGAATTTATGAGGGAAAAAGAACTAGGCACCTTGTTTAGGGATTTTGTGTATTAAAAAATATTCCATTTCCAAGGGTGATTTTCAAGTTTACATTAAATATAAAATAAAATCTGAATTGCTTTTGCATTGAAGGCCAAATAAAACTTTTTTGCAAGTGGTTTCTATTTTTAGCATATTATTATATATACAAAAGAAGTAGAACAAATCCTATAATAAGTCACATTTTCTGGATACTGCAGTCTGAGACTTACAGAACAATAACAGAAATATGATCTTTCCATTTAATGTATTGAGCAAGCTGGTCAATTACAGTGTCACAAAATGGGGCAAAAATATCTGCCTTGAAGCCACTGATTTTGTTGAAACTTGGTTTGTGGTAAAGAAGTAAAGTAAAGAAAGGAAAGAGAAAAAAGGAATTCAGCAGTGGAAAGACAATGGCCTAAAATATTATGTGCACAGTAAGCTGCAGAATTCTTGCTACTTTTGGTCTGAAAAAAGAACATCTTAAGACAGAATAAGAAATCTTCCGACTTAAGTCACCATGTCCGGATCTCTCCAACTATGCTGTAAGAATACATGAAACATTACCTTTGGCTACATCGGTGGCCCAGGTCATAATGTGATCCATGTCCATTTCTTCACTTCTGTTACTGTTAATGTAATCATAGAGTGATCCCAGAGAAGCGTATTCTGTTTTCAAAGGAAAGATTAAGCATAGAATTAAAACCAAGGCACAATTCACAAATAAGACTGCACGGTTTCATTGAGACAATGTGTTAAAGAATTTAACAAAAAGACATTAAAACTTATTTTTAAAAAAAACTGTTCTATGCTGTGGTTTCTCAAAATGAATATCATCCTGGAAAGAAATCTGTCAAAGACAAGACCACTAACAGAATGGATAATAAAACTTCAGCTGGTGATGAAATCAAAAGCCATTTGGACAGAATTCAGAAACACAGAGGTGTTGCAAGAATGCATTTGAAACAAAGGCAGGCATGTATATAGGTATTTCAAAAAATTGTTATTCTTAGGAGATAAATAAGGTTAAACACATAAGTCAGGGGGTTTATGTGACCATGTAAACAAATCAATATTTGTTGCATCAGGATTTAGATGAGTCCTCAAATTTTAAGCTTTACAAAAGGTCAAGAAAGTGAGAAAACTTTTAAAATGGTTTTGAGATATGAATTACACATCATAAAATTCACCCACCATATGTGTACAATTTGATTTTTAGGAAACTTACAGAGTTGTGCAATAACCACTACAATCCAATTTTAGAACCTTTCCACGATCCCAAACAAGTCCCTTCTGCCCACTTACTGTTAATCACCACTGTCAGCCCCAGCCCTGTGACTTATCTTTTCTCACTCTCAAAAGTGCCTTTTCTAGACATTTCACATAATGGAATGAAACAATACATGGCCTTTATGTCTGACTGCTTTCTCTTCATATAATGTTTGCAAGACTCTTTTGTGTGTAGCATGTGTCAGTACTTCATTCCTTTTTATTCCTGAATAGTATTTCATTGTATTGATCTATCACATTCACCTTTTTCATTCACTGGGTTGATAGACATTTGCATGGTTCCTTTTCTAGATGTTATTTATCAGGTGGAGAAAATTCCCTTCTATTTTTAGCCTGCTGAGATTTCTTATTATAAATGGGTGTTGTAGTATGTCAAGTTGGTTTTTGTCTTTTATTGTTACGGTGTTTTATATTAATTGATTTCAGATGTTAAATCAACCTTGCATTTCTGGGATAGATCCCATTTGGTTGTAATGTATAATCCTTTTTATTGGTGGATGGATTCAGTTTGCTAATATGTAGTGAAGGATTTTTTTTTTTTTTTAGTCAAGGATTTTTGCATCTATATTCAGGAGGGATGGTGGTCTGCAGTTTTCTTATTATGGTTCTGTCTGGTTTTGCTATTAGGATAATGCTGGCTGTATAGAATGAACTGGAAGTGTTCCTTCTATTTTCAGAAACAGTATGGGAAGGACTGGTGTTATATTTCCTATAGAACTCGTCAGTGAAATCACCTGGTTTTGGAAATTCATTATGGAAATATTTTAAATTATGAATTCAATTTTCTTTACTTATAGTTTTGGTCAGATTTTTTGTTTCTTCTTGAGTCAGTTTTGAAAATTTTTATATTTTTAGGGATTTTTTCATTGCATCTAAATTGTCTAATTTGTTGCCATAAGGTTGGTCATAATATTCCCTTATAATTCTTTTAAATTTCTGTAGGGACCATAATGTTATCTTCTCCTTCATTTCTGATTTTGCTAATTTGTATTTTCTTTTTTGTTGGTCAGTCCAGCTAAAGGTTTGTCAGTTTTACTGAGCTTTACAAAGACCAAAATTTTAGTTTCATGGATTGTCTCTATTATTTTTGTTTTCTATGTTATTCTATTCTGCTCTAATCCTTATTATTTCCTTCATTGCCTTGCTTTGGGCTTATTTTGTTCTTTTTGTAGTTTGTTAAGTCTGAAATGATCAATTTCAGACCTTCTTTTTAAATAAAACATAGATGTGTTGTTGCTCAGTTGCTCAGTTGTGTCTAACTCTTTGCAACTCCATGGACTACAGCACGCCAGGCTTCCCTGGCTTTCATCGTTTCCCAGAGTTTGCTTAAACTCATGTCCATTGAGTTGATGATGCCATCCAACCATCTCGTTCTCTGTCGTCCCCTTTTCCTCCTGCTTTCAATCTTCCTCAGCATCAGGGTCTTTTCTAGTGAGTCGGCTCTTTGCATCTGGCAGCCAAAGTATTGGAGGCTCAGCTTCAGCATCATTCTTTCCAAAGAATATTTAGGGTTGATTTCCTTTAGGGTACTGGTTTGATCTCCTTGTTGTCCGAGGGACTCTCAAGAGTCTTCTCCAACACCACAGTTCAAAAGCATCAATTCTTCAGCGCTCAGTCTTCTTTATGGTCAAACTCTCACATCTGTATGTGATTTCTAGAAAAACCATAGCTTTGACTATACAGACCTTTGTTGGCAAAGTGATGTCTCTGCTCTTTAATGTGCTTATAAATTCCCTCCTAAGTATTACTTTGTCTTCCACCTATGATATTGATATGCTGCATTTTCATTTCCTCTCTGTCGAAAATATTTAAAAATCCATTGTGGTTTCTTGACTCACTGTTTAGAAATGTGTCATGTAATTTCCAAACATTTGGGAATTTTCCGGGTTTCTTTCTTGCATTGATGTTTTAATTTTATTGTGATTAAAGAACTCTTCAATCCTTTATTTTAATTGGAAGATAATTACTTTACAATATTGTGATGGCTTTTGCCATACACTAAAATGAATCGGCCATAGGTATACATGTGTCCCCCCCCATTCTGAACCCGCCTCCCACCTCCCTCCCCACCCCATCCCTCCAGGTTGTCACAGAGCACTGGCATTGGGTGCCCTGCTTCATGCACTGAACTTGAACTGGTCTTCCGTTTTATTCACTTCTTTTTGATGTACTAAGATTTATTTCATGATTTAACTTATCATGCATGCTAAAGAATATGCCCTTGAAAAGAATATGCATTCTTTGTTGGGTGGTGTGTAGAGCTGGTTGAGAGTGTTTGTCAAGTCTTCTATATCCTTGCTGATTTTTTATCTAGTTGTTCTATCAATTACTGAGAATGGGGATACTAAAACCCCTTTGTTGAACTGACTGGTTCTCCTTTACAGTCAGTTTTTGCTTCATGTACTTTGAGGACCTCTTGTTAACTGTGTATATATTTACAATTGCTATATCTTCCTGATGTATTGATCCTTTTTATCATTATGAATGACCCAATTTATTTCTAGTAATATTTCTTAAGTTTATTTTGTTTGAAATTACTATAGTTACTCCAGTTCATGCTTACTGCTTGATCGGCAGTATAGAATTAAGACATTTCCAAAAATCAAAGAAAAGATGATCCTCTATTGTAACTTTTCTTTTGACTTTGGAGATTCTAGTCATCCCATTATTTTGCAGATCTGGGAAAAAGATGTTCACTTCCCTTCCAAGGGAAATAAAATGGCAGCTACCTCTTGGACTCTGTTCTATGTCTTATAAGCAGGTTTTAGAAAATCGTCTCTGTGATGAGAAGTTTCGGCAAACACACATGCATGGGTGCACGTATACACATCCTTACCCAGAAATAATCAATTCTAGTCCCTTCACTCATGAAGAGAAAACAGACAGATCATCAGGGACCCATCTATGGAGCTTTGGCAGAATCAAGACAAGATTTCATCGCTCAGTTCCTATTGCAGTGTCCATTCCATTCCATCACTCTGATAAATTATTCTTTCAGGTCCTCAGTATGAATGACAACAGCTGTCTGATGCAACAACCTTTTTTATTAACAAGTACACTCAAGCTAGTCAAGGTTTCCCCGTCAGGGCTCCAACATATGAGAAAGACAATGAGGTTCTAAAGAGAGGGAGCTAGCTGGGTTGGGGGATCAAGGTTTTTGTGCCTGCCTGTGTCTCTCTCTACCTTACTTACTTACAAGTCTGCCATACTAGTGTTCATTTCAAGAAGCAAGCCAAGTGCTATCATTCCCAACCCATCTGACCTTCCTTCCACACTTGACTCAGTTGCATATGTACTATCATCCCTCAGTTATCTGTGGGGGGTTGGTTGAGGATACTCAAGTCTCTTACATAAAATGGAGCAGTACATTCAGGCTTCCACATCTACTGGATCTAAAGTATGCTCATAGCCTTCTAGAACCTAGCTTACATATAAGAAAAGAAGATTCTGTATAAAATCAACTGAGAAATTTATACCACTATGGTTCTACCATTAGTTGGGTAATCTTGAAAAAGTACTTAAGTTACAGTTTCAGTTTCTTATGTGAAATAGGTTATTCTAAGTATTAGATAACATAATTTATAAGGAAGTACCTAATCCAGTCCTTTTTATTGAGGGTATTTTGTTATTTTAAGACAATATATAAAGACAATCCAAGTTCTTACCACTACAATAGAAGAATAGAGGGCTGGATGATCTTTTAAGGTTTTCTTGTTTGTCTTATTTTGGTCAAAGAACTGCCATGATAAAGAACTTGGTCAAAGTTATGTATTGTAAAATTGAACACTATATTTATCATAGACCTGAAGCTGTTTATTGGATTATACAGCTTTGAGTATAAAGTATTATAAATAGGTGCCTTTCTGTATTTTTATATGGCAAAATTTTCTGTGTGCTCCATTTTGGAAAGGGTATTTCCATCAGTTATAAATTGCTGTTCTATATTATGCGATAATTTAGATCAAGGTCATTACCAACTCAGATGACCAAACCTGAAAAATATTATTCTCACGTCAGAGACCTTGAAGAAAGAATGCTCTAATGGGATTAAAATGCCTTGCAAAGAATTACAACATGAGTAGCTCAAGAAATCTTAATTTGTAAAAGGTCACAGAGTTACAAAAAACATCGCTCATTTCAACTAATTAAATGAAATTTTAGTTAAACGGCACCTTTAAATATTGGTATTGCAGCTGCGAGTGCATTTAAATAGCATTTACACAGATATAATTAGCACAATTAAACATGGGTAGAAGTGGAAACACCATTCTTAATTATATTGATATAATCAGTTTTATTAATGCTTTATAGCAAAAAAAGTGACATCTGACAGTAGCACACAATTCATGACAGAACCTAATATTAAGCATTTGAGCATATTAAAGAATCTAAAGCTAGGTAAATGGGGAAAGAAAAAAGTCAAATAGAGTTCCTACCTGTGACAATACCATAGTTGGGAGGTTCGAGAATTACTCCATAAAACTGGATGATGTTTCTGTGACTGAGGACGCTGAGTATTTCTGCCTATACAAAAATCAAATACAAAGTTGCATAAAATTTCACATTTATAAAAGTCTCATAAAATAGGTCTTGTGTTCAATTTCCTTTTACATACTTTACAAAGATGTGTATGTGCTCATTAAGCATGTGATACTAACAAAACAGTGTCTTTGGCAGTTTTCTTGATGGATTAAGAATTTATATTGAAGGTTTCTGAAAAATTTTAAAAAGAAATGGGGTTGAACTGGCAGCAGCAGAAGTGCTTACTAGCAAGTCAACATGACTGACAGTAGAGGGGGATGATTAAAGAGGGGAGATGCCATATTTATTTAAGTAAAAGCCTTCTTCCTTAAAGTCAAACACATTTTTTTTTTCTGAATAATATCCCCTCTGGCAGACTTCAACACGACTAAATTTCTATCAGTTGGATGAACAGTTATGACAAAATTCGCTCAGACAGTAAAGAGTCTGCTTGCAATTCAGGAGACCTGGGTTCAATCCCTAGGCCGGGAAGATCCCCTGGAAAAGGGAATGACTACCCATTCCATTATTCTTACCCCTCTGTCCATGGGATTCCTCAGGCAAGAATACTGGACTTGGTTGCCACGCCCTCCTCCAGGGGATCTTCCCAACCCAGGAATTGAACCCATGTCTTTTATGTCTCCCGCACTGGCAGGCAGGTTCTTTACTACTAGCACCACCTGGGACACCCTAGTAGGATATGATTTTTCATTAAAAACACGTGAAACTTGCTTTGAAGGTGGTTTGACTACACAGAAAACAGAGGTTATGGGTTGACATGGGGTCAATGTGGGAACAGGAGAAAGGAGCATTATTAGCAACTGGATGAGACATTCATTTTATCAAGGTTGATTTGACAATTTGTTTTAGTAAGTGTTGAAGTGGGCTATAGAAATAATTCCTTAACAATCACTGAGTGTTCACTGTGTGTAGAGGTTCTGTATTCATCAAACAACCTTCTCATAATTTAGTTTTCCAAGTAGAAAGAAAATACAGTAATTGGACAATAAATACAATTATTCATCCATATGGCAACTCTCTAAATCAGCATAAGTAACCTTTGTTGTAAAAATACAGCTCATGTGAAGTTTGGAAATCACAAGGCCTCTGTTTTTCAGTGGCAGATCAACTGTGAGTAAAGCATGAGTGTTCAATGTGAGGACGCATTAATGTTGGAACCAGTATTGGTCAAAATCATGGAGTGTTATTCTTTGGCACATTTTGATATATTTTTCAGAATATCTAAATCTCGAAGCCATTAAAAATGTTTTCATCAAAAAAGAATAAATACAAGAATATTCTGAATCCTTGGACAATGATTTTATAATTCAGCGTGACATGGAGTTTTCAGTGTTTCAGCTAGCTTTCATGCTTACATTTAAGATACTGACAAATTATATCTTGGAGAGAGAATTTATCTTTTCAGGTATTGGTAAGCATGTCTAGATGGCCTTGAGTAGGTATATGCTAATGACAGAACAACTATTATCTTGTGTTCCTTTGTTGTGCTCGTTTTAATTTCTTACAGTTATGAAAAACTCTTGCAGTATGATTTGCAAACAAAAGATTTTTTTATGGAATAAGGCTTTAGGTTCCAATTTAATAAGCTAAGAATTTGATTTAACATCTCAAAAACAACATGCTACTTTAGAATATTGTACAAGTTCCATGGAAATGGGCTAATAATAAGTAGAGATAGATTAAATAAATAAGTGATATTTGCAATAAATGGAAATCATGATACCTGTTAGCAATTCAAACAAGCTCCAACAGAAAATACCTGGGATTAATTGAATTATTAAAACCTGTGCTTATAGTAGCCAGTACCTGAATACAAGTGGATGTATTATAGAAATTTGCCTCTATAGACACCTGCTTGTCAATAGTTCATCAATGGAAATTGCTGAAGTATGCAGCAAATAATTTTTCCTTCAGTTGTTGTTTTCCCACTGTTTTCCAGATTTAAATTCTGGGATACTCTAGCAAATGGCTTACATCAAAATAATGGATTAGTGGCTTGAAAAAGTTCAGTTTTATGTTAAAAAGGAAACATAATAACAATGAAGGCTAAAATAATACTCTATTGTGCCAAAAAAAATTTAAATATTTTTAATACTATTAAAACTAAGATGATTTGGTACAATGGAATATTACTCAGCCATAAAAAGAACAAAATATTGTCATTTGCTGAAACATGGATGTACTTAGAGAATACTGAAAGTGAAAGTGTCAGTCATTCAGTCATGTCTGACTTTTTGCGACTCCATGGACTACATAGCCGGCCAGGCTCCTCTGTCCATGGGATTCTCCAGGCAAGAATACTGGAGTGGGTAGCCATTCCCCAATAATTTAAAGGGGAATAGCCATTCCCCCAAACTTAAGAAGATAAGAGCCCACATTTTTTTTTTAATTAAAATTACACATAAAAGAAAGGAGATGAGGAGGAAATAAAATATATTATTTGTGTTTATCTCTAGGTAGCAAAGGGCTTCCCAGGTGGTTCAATGGGTAAAGAATCTGCCTGCAATGCAGGAGACGTGGGTTCAGTCCCTGGGTGGGGAAGATCCCCTGCAGGAGGGTATGGCAACCCACTCCAGTATTCTTGCCTAGAGAATTCCATGGACAGAGGAGCCTGGGGGGCTACAGTCCATACGGTTGCAAAGAGTCAGACACAACTGAAGAAACTGAGCACGCACTAGGTAGTAAAAAGAATCATAACTGATTGAGAATTTCCACTATTTCCCAAATTCTTTACAATAGCCTCTATAATTTTTAATCAGACAAAAACAGTACAAGCATGTTATCCGTAATATGTATGACTAGAGCATATAAATAGAACATTTAAAATACTGATTTGCATGGAAATTTTGATTTCCCCTAGGATTGGATCAGAAAGAGGTAAAATTCTTTCCTTACCTCCCCAGAACTACCCTAGGTATATAAGGACTAGTTTAGTTAATCTCTGAGCTACGAGTTTCTCCAGACAAGCATCCAGAACAGACATCTCCTGGGTTACCCCTGAAGAAGTCCAGACTCTGAGAGGCCGTGAGACAAAAGTCTGGACACTGAGTCCACCTACTCAGACTCGGGTTCAGCGTTTTATTAAATGATCTTCCTCTCCCGTTGGACATGTGTTCTCGCAGCCCCTGCTCTTCAAAGAAGCCTTGCTTGTCTTGCACCATGCCTAGTATAAGACCACATGAGGGAGAAAGGTCATATGCTTTATACAGCCGAAGCTCAATAATATTTGAAGGGTGGATGAACAAATAGTATTTAACAATAATGATATTAAGTGTGTTTGAATAACTGCCACGGTAAGAGTTCATGTAAGGTAAATGTTTACTCTGAACAGGGCAGTGAGAAGAGTAAAATGCCTCTGGGTGTGGATTTGCTTCACTATTCATTCTGTTCTTTTACATGCATAAGGGTTACTTCGGGCTATCATTTCACAAGAATGCCAGTCAATCAATTATACAACTACAGTAGAAGCCACATTGAAATTTGTGTTTATGAGCCCTTTGTTGATTTGAACTTTCAGGATAAAGTTGGACAGCTACAAGTTGCCTCTTGCAGTCCATGACAATCAAATAAGCAAAATTTCTTGAGAGCCCTTCCTTGCTTGGCTATTCTCCAAGCATGCCCTCATTGAACTTTTTCAGATATAGAATGGAGAAGCTTGCTTAATCTTAAACCTTCTGCTTCCAGTTTTCTACCCAATGCATTGTACCCTTTATATTTCCAAAATCACATCTGCAAGTAAGCCAGCTTCTTATCAAGTCCACAACCTCCCCACACCATACCCACCGTAGCAGACCTCCTGAATAATGGAGCCCTGCTTCTCAGTAGGGGGGCTACATTTCACACACACTTTCTGCATAGGCTGAATGTGTTCCCCTAAAATCCATATGTTGAAACCTGACCCCCAAAGTGATGGTATAAGGAGGTGGGGCCTGTAAAAGGTGATGAGGGTAGAGCCTCATGAATGGAATCAGCGCCCTTATAAAGGAGCTCCCTTGCCCCTTCCTTCTGCCACATGAGGACACCACATGAAGATGGCCAACTGTGAACCAGGAAGTAGGTTCTCACCAGAAATCAACTCTGCTAACAACTTGATCTCGGACTTCCCAACCTCCAGAACTTATGAGTGTGTTTGTTGTTTATAAGTCATCCCATCTTCAGTATTCTGTTACAGCATCCTGAATGGACTAAGGCAGCTCTCTTCCTAGGCTTGGGCCAACATCACAAAATTCTACAACTGAACCAGCCTTCTTAAGAACAGGATGGGTTCAAAAAGACAATGCCCTTGGTCTTCTCAGTGCAGCATACTTCTTATCATTATCCCCACAGAGCCCAGAGCTATTGTACTTAGCAGCAGAATGTAAGGTATGAGGGGAAATACTTGATTTAAAAACTCCAAAAACAGGGACTTCTCTGGTGGACCAGTGAGTGGTTAAGAAATCTCCAGCCAATGCAGGGGACCTGGGTTCGATCCCTGGTCTGGGAAGATCCCATAAGCTGTGAAGCAACTAAGTCTGTGAGCCACAATTACTGAACCAAGCTCTAAATAAAGCTTGTGCTCTGCAACAAGAAAAACCACCACAGCAAGAAGCCCCCACACCACAACTGGAGAAAGCCCATGGCACAACGAAGACTCAATGCAGCCAAAAAAACACACAAACCCTAAAACAGTAGTGTATAAGGTCAAAACATCCTGCTTTTTCAGGCAAGAAGTAGGTAGACACTCTGTTTCAGGCTCTGCTTATAAAGATAATTGAGGCAGAATGCACTCCCTAAGTAATCAGAAGATTTACATGTGTCAGATCACAAGAACCAGTGTCAAAAACAAACAAACAAAAAAAGTTGTTTACTTCATTGCATTTTTACTCCAAGAATACTATTTTAGGGGCATTTTCCTAAAATAAAAACTTGATTCTCGCAAGATGGAAAACCAGCTCCCACTTCTAAAAACTCAGTGCTATAGAACATTAGAAATAGGCTAGGAT